TATTCAGTGTGCTGAATGGGAAAATATGAAATATGCACCCAAGAATGCTTTATCCAGCAAGCCTGTCACTCAGAATAGAAGGAGAGATGAAGAGTTCCCCAGAGAATCAAAAACTAAAGAGTTTGTAACCACTAAGCCAGCCCTGCAAGAAATATTAAAGGGAACTCTTTGGGGAAAGGGGGAACAAAGCCAACAAAGACTAGAAAGGAATACAGAACATCACCAGAAACACTTACTTTAGAGGTAACACAATGGCACTAAATTCATATCTATCAATAATCACCCTGAATGTAAATGGGCTAAATGCTCCAATCAAAAGACATAGGGTATCAGAATGTATAAAAATAAAAACAAGACACATTTATATGCTGCCTACAAGAGACTTATTTTATAAAGACCTAATGATACCTGCAGATTGAAAGTGAAGGAATGGAGAACCATCTATCATTCTAATGGATGTAAAAAAAAAAAAAAAGCCAGAGTAGCCATACTTATATCCGGCAAACTGGATTTTAAACCAAAATCTGTAACAAGAGACAAAGAAGAGCATTATACCACAATTAAGGGGTCTGTCCATCAAGAAGACCTAACAATTGTAAATATTTATGCCCCCACCTTGAGAGCACCCAAGTATATAAATCAATTAATAACAAACATAAACTCATTGATAATAATAGATAATTAATAATAGATAATAGTAGGAGACCTTAATACCCCACTTACAACAATGGGCATATCATCTAAGCAGAAAATCAACAAGGAAACAATGGCTTTGAATGACACACTGGACCAGTTGGATTACCAGTTATATTCAGTTATATTACCAGTTATATTCAGAACATGCCATCCTAAAGCAGCAGAATACACATTCTTTTCAAGTGCATATGGAACATTCTTTGGAATAGATCACATATTGGGTTATAAATCAGTCCTCAGCAAGTACAAAATGATGGAGATCATACCATGCATATTTGCAGACCACAACACTATGAAACTTGAAATCAACCACAAGAAAAAATTTGGAAATCCCACAAATACATGGAAGGTTAAAAACATCCTACTACAGAATGAATGGGTTAACCTGGAAATTAAAGAAGAAATTAGAAAATATATGGAAGCAAAGGAAAACTAAAACATGAAAGTCCAAGCCCTTTGGATGTAGCAAAGGCAGTCCAAGAGAGAAGTATATTGCAATACAGGCCTGTATCAAGAAGCAAGAATAGTCTCAAATACACAACCTAACTTTACACCTAAAGGAGCTAGAAAAGGAGCAGTATAAAAACCTGAATCTAGCAGAAAGGAACTAATAAAAGCTAGAGCAGAAATAAACAAAAGAGAAACAAACAAAAACAGAACAGATCAATGAAACCAAGAGCTGATTCCTTGAAAAGATTAATAAAATTAATTGATAAACCCCTAGCCAGACTTGTCAGAAAGAAAAGAGAAAGAACTCAAATAAATAAAGTCATTAATCACAGAGGAGAGATCACAACTAACACCACAGAAATACCAAAAATCATAAGAGATTATGAAAAAATATATGCCAATAAACTGCACAAGCTGGAAGAAATAGACAAATTCCTAGAAACATACAAACTACCAAAATTGACACAGGAAGAAATAGAAAGTTTGAATAGACCCATAACCAGAAAAGAAATTGAATAAGCAATCAAAAATTTCCCAACAAACAAAAGTCTCCAGATGGCTTCCCAGGGGAGTTCTACAAGACATTTAAAGAAGAATTAATACCTGTTCTTCTCACACTGTCCTCCCCCCCCCCCAAAAAATGGAAGGAAAACTCCCAAATTTCTTCTAGGAGGCCACAATTACATTGACTCCAAAACCAGAAAAAGACCCCACTAAAAAGCAGAATTATAAGCCAGTATCCCTGAACATGGATGCAAAAATTCTCAACAAGGTACCAGCAAATTTAATTCAACAGTATTAAAATAATTAGTCACCACAAGTGGTATTTATTCCTGGGCTTCATTGATGGTTCAATACTCACAAATCAATCAATGTGATATACCACATTGATAAAAGAAAGGCTAAGAACCACATGATTCTCTCAATAGATGCAGAAAAAGCATTTGACAAAATACAGCATCCTTTCTTGATAAAAATTCTTAAGTAGGGATAGATGGAATGAACCCCAACATCATAAAGGCCATATATGAAAGATCCACAACGAATATACCCAATTGGGAAAAAAATGAGAGCTTTTACTCAATGGTCAGGAACAAGACAGGGATGTCCACTCTCACCATTACTATTTAATATAGTACTGGAAGTCTTAGCCTCAGCAATCAGACAACAAAAAGAAATAAAAGACATCCAAACTGGGAAGGAAAAAGTCAAAATTTCACTATTCAAAGGTGACATGATACTCTATGTAGAAAACCCGAAAGACTCCACCAAAAAATTTGCTAGAACTAATACATGAATTCAGCAAACTCACAGGATATAAAATCAAGGTACAGAAATCTGTTGCATTTCTATACACCAATAATGAAGCATCAGAAAAAGAAATCAAGGAATCAATTCCATTTTACGATTATACCAAAAACCCTAAGATACCTAGGAATAAACCTAACCAAAGAGGTAAAAGATCTATACTCTGAAAACTATAGGACACTTATGAAAGAAAGTGAAGAGGACACAAAGAAATGGAAAAACATTCCATGCTTATGGATTGGAATAACAGATACTGTTAAAATGTCTATACCACCCAAAGCAATCTACACATTCAGTGCAATCCCTATCAAAATGCCACCAGCATTTAAAAAACAATCCTAAATTTTGCATTGAAGGACAAATGACCCTGAATAGCCAAAGCAATCTTGACAAAGCAAAGCAAAGCTGGGGGCATCACAATTTCAGACTTCAAGCTGTGTTACAAAGCTATAGTCATCAAAACATTATGGTACTGGCACAAAAACATACATATATATCAATGGAACAGAATAGAAAACCCAGAAATCTTCACAATCTTGGATTAGACAGAAGTTCTTAAACTTGACACCAAAAGCATGATCCATAAAGTAAAATTGGTAAGCTGGATCTTGTGAACATGAAACTTACAAAACTTGTGTTCAGTGAAAACTTGTGTGAAGAGGATTAAAAGACAAACTATGGACTGGGGAAAAAATGTTTGCAAACCACATATCTGACCAAAGAGCAGGATCTTAAATGCAAAAAGAACTCTCAAAACTCAATAAAAATGCATCCAGTGCAGTTGGGGAATGGGCAAAAGGTATGAACAGACACTTTACCTAAGAGGGCATAGATATCCAATGAGCACACATAGGGTTGCCTGGGTGGCTCAGCTGGTTAACCGTCTGACTCTTGTTTTCACTTAGCTCAGGTCATGATCTCACGGTTCATGAGTTTGTACCCCACATGGGTTCTGAGCTGACAGTGCAGAGCCTGTGTGGGATTCTTTCTCCCTCTATCTCTCTGCCCCTCCCATGTTCGTTCTCTCTCTCTCTCTCTCTCTCAAAATAAATAAACTTAAAAAACTGAGCACACATGAAGATGTTTAGCAGCATTAGCCATCAAGGAAATACAAATTAAAACCATATTGGTATATCACTACACTCCCTATCAGAATGGCTAAAATAAAAATGGTGATACCAAGTGTGGGCAAGGAAACAGAGAAGCTGGATCATTCATACACTGCTGGTAGGAACGTAAAATGGTTCATCCACTGTGGAAAACAATTTGGCAGTTTCTCATAAAACTAAACATTCAATTACCATGTGACTCAACAACTGTACTCTTGGACATTTTTCCCAGAGAAATAAAAACCTATGGTCACACAAAGACCTGTACACAAATGTTAATGGCAACTTTATTTGTATAAGCCAACAAACTGAAAACAACCCAGATATTTCTCATCTGGTGCCTGATTGAACAAACTGGGTACATCCAAGCCATGGAATACTGCTCAACAATAAAAAGGAATTAACTACAATACGTGCAACAGCGTGGATGAATCTTCAGGGGATTATGCTGAGTGAAAAAAGTAAGGTTACATGCTATATGATTCCACGTGTATATGGTTCTTGAAAGGACAAAATTATAAAAATTGAGACCAGATTAATGGTTGACAAGGGTTGAGCTGGAACAGGGGGAAGGAGGTATGTTGGTCAATGAAAGGGCAACACGGGGCAGGGAGCCTTGTGATGATGGAAATGTTCTTCTTGACTGCATCCACATCAATCCTGGCTATGATATTTCACTATAGTTTTGTAAGATGCTACCATGGGGGAAACTGAGTAAAGAGTATGCAAGATTTCTCTGTATTATTTCTTATATACCTGCATGTGATTCTACAATTAACCCAGGGTAAAAAGCTTAATTTAAAAACTTGGCGTTTTAGGGGTGTCTGGGTGGCTTCCTCAGTTAAGTGTCTGACTTCGGCTCAGATCATGATCTCATGGTTCATGAGTTCGAGCCCCACGTAGGGTTCTGTGCTGGCAGCTCAGACCCTGGAGCCTGCTTCAGATTCTGTGTCTCTCCCTCTCTGCCCCTCCCCTCTTCGTGCTCTGTCTCTCTCTGTCTCTCAAAAATGAATAAACAGTAAAAAGGAAGAAAGGAAGAAAGAAAGGAAGGAAGAAAGCAAGCAAGCAAGCTTGGCATTTTATTAAATACTTAAAAATTTTGAGATACATTTTATAATTAATAAAGATTGCCCACCCACTTAAATGCTGGTGATTCCAAGATTTTCTTAGACAGTGACTGCCTAATCATGATCAAAATTGTGAAATATATCATTTAGTATCTAATAATTCGATCAGCATTGTAGAAGAATAAACAGATGTGTCTCTATTAAAGTCCAGTTTTGATTATGAAGCAAACAAAAAGCTACAAAACAAAACCTCCACGAAGTGGGTAACAATTGGCCACACTTTTTCTGGACCTTGATGGAAATGCTAAGAATCTGCCTTCTGGGTTGTCAGGATGAGACTGACTTTCTTCTGCCTTTTTCTCTCTCACAGGATCTCCTCTTCAGCGTGTGTGCCCTCAATGTCCTCTCCACCATCGTGTGTGCATTGGCCACAGCCATGTGCTGCATGCAGATGGTCTCTTCTGATGTCCTGCAGATGGTGAGTGGCCCCCTTCCTTCCCAAGCATGCTCAAGATGGCTAGCCTGACCCCCTTCTCCTCCAGCCAGTTTGAAACCAACATAGAGTGGACACTTCTAGCTTCCAACCAGAAACCCCAAGGATGATAGGCCCTGAGGGTCCATGGAGGCCACCTCATGCTGCCCTCTGGAAGACAGAGAACCTGTACATTTGGTGCCACTAACATATTTATTTTAGTCATTGAATGCATGTTAACAGAGCTGCATGTTAACAGAGTCCGGCCACCCTCATGCCCCTCTAGATGGCCTCTACTGTGTGCCCTGAATAATTTTAGTGACAATCCTGTAGCCCTAGACATCCTCTGGGCCCAGCACCTCCAGAGCGAGGTGGCTTCTTCAAGCTTTAATGTTCTCTTTTAATAAAGGGAGGTTTTAGAAGATGAGTTCTTTTCCAATTGAAAAACTGCTCATCTGTGCTTTTTAGACTTCCTAATTAACCCTGAGCTCATAATCTGCTGGCAGGTCACTGGCTGGCCCTCATGACCACCCTGGCCAGGGTCTTACAGTCGAAGAACTGCTGCTCCCAAGGGAGAGAGATAAGAACAGGAGCAAGGGTCATACACATATTAATACACGTTTATAAGTACATGCTTAATAAATAATGAAGGCTCTTTATTATTCAGTGTAAATGAAACACAGCCCACTGTTTGCTGTGTCACCACTAAAGTCAGTACGATAAAGAGAAACTAATGGGAAGATATTGTTCTCTAGTGCTCAGGGTAGGAATCATCTGTGTGTGCGTGCATCTGTCTGTCTCTGTGTCTCTGTCTCTTGTGTTGCTTCTTCAAGATCCATCTGCCTCCCCCTCAGTGTTTTATGCATCTCACGAAAAGAAAAGCAAGTTATTCTTGTAGTAGGCTGTTTTATTTGCTCTTTCTTATCCACCCCATGGCAATACATCAGTTCATCAAGATACAGGGCCAGAGAGCATCATTACCAAGATGTTAAAAATTCATTGGTTCTAATCATATGCAACATCCGCCTCTTTGTCCCAGTGTATATCTACACAGCTGTCACAGCCAGGGCTGACCTTTCTGAGAAGTGGCAGTTCTCCGAAAGGTATCTAATTAAGCAGTTATTCAGCAGCGATGAACTTTTGGCCCTGCTCACCGAGGCCTCATGTTGGTGATTTTCTCCCGCATGTTGTGTAAAGGAAAGGTTAAGTACCATGGGGTTCTATTCACCTCTGCATATTTTACTATTGATCTGTAAATATCACACCAATTTGACCAAACTCACAGAACCAAAGGGCTATAAATGTAAACGTTTGCATTTCCTGGTTTGAAGTGTTAGAATGAAACCCACCAACTAAACAAGCATCGGGCCTATGGAAGCGGTGATAGATATACAACTGTAACATCAAGAGCAGGGTCATTCTATCATTCTGCCACAGGGAACCTGAGCGGGCCTGGAATCCTGGGCCTGACGACAGCCATGACTGGGTCGGAGTCCCACCTCTTCTGCATACGAGGCAGGGGACTCTGGACATGTCACTGAACCTGCCAGAGCCTCAATTTCCTCAACTCAAATAAACCTAATGGTATACCTGGTGAACATTCAAGAAACATGACCTAGTCGATCCATAAATGTGGGCAGAACATTAGTTACTGGGCTATCTCAGCCACGACTGTGAATGCCATGGCCCTTGATGTACTTTGCCAACTGTAAAACACCAAAGGGAAATAAGGTGTTTTTACAATTAACACAGCCACCATCACAACCTCTGGTTGTTTCACAGCTGAGTGTTTGCGGGTAAGTTTGCTTCTTACCCCTGGCTTAGAAGTAGAAATCAGTTAAATTCCTGCAGGTGAGTCCTTTTCCCTTTGTGTCTATGGGCTATGGGACCAGACAAGGCTCAAGGGGAACAGGTGGTATATGACCATGGTGCATTGTGGAACCAGTGCATGATCTTGGGCACATCCCTGCCTATTGGTCCCAGTTTCCTCTGCTCTATGTGAGACTGTTCATGTTCTGCTTCCTCTTGGGTCCGCTGACAGAGGAATCACATAATGCATGTGTGTGACTTTGAAAAACCCTGGTGGTCATGTGAAGGAGGTGGGCTTTTACCACATGGATCAGAAGCTGGGTGAAGCTGGCCACACAGGCTGCACCCGTGAGAAAGGAGAAGTGGGAAGCCCAGGGGCTCATGGGTACGCCCTGCAGGATGGAACCTGGTACTATTTATTCATGAAAATGCCTCAGGCTCTTTTTACTTTTTTAGAAAAGTCTTCTCCTTTTTCTCCAGCTCTACTCCATTGCAATTGACTTTAATTTTCTTACTTCATTTCATTAGACTGTTTAATTAAAGAAGTAATGTATGATCACTGAAACAAGTAAAACATAGAGATAGATAAAGGCATAGTTAATAATCTACCTTCTCCCATCTTATTCTCTTGAGGAAACTTTGCATTAAATCCTTCCATTTCTTTATTGACTTCTTAGTGTTTATATTAACATATATATAATCTATTTTCCTTGTTCCTCCTTCCCTTCTTCCCTCCATCCTTCCCTCTCTTCTTCCTTCCATTATTTCTTCCTTTTAGCCAAATAGGATCGTACCATTCATTATCACTCTGCAGTGTGATTTTAATAGCTGAAACTCTCATGGACATCCCTGTAGGTTAATCTACACAGAAATGTATTCCTGTCTACATTGATCCATAATATGGATGTAGCGTCAGTCAGTTGGCTATTTATCTATTCGATCCATGAATGCTTGAGTTCTTTCTTTCTTTTTTTGAGAGAGGGCATGATTGAGCAAGGGGCAGAGAGAGGGAAAAAGAGAGAGAGGGAGAGAGAGAAGCAGGGCTCATGCTCACCCAAAGTGGGGATAGAACTACGAGATCATGAACTGAGCCTAAGTCAGATGCTTAACTGAGTGAGCCACCCAAGCGCCCTTTTCTTTTCAAAAAAATTTTTTTATTAATGTTTATTTATTTTTGAGAGTGAAAAAGAGAGGGACAGAGCACAAGCGGAGGAGGGGCAGAGAGAGGAAGACACAGAATCCGAAGCAGACTACAGGCTCTGAGCTGTCAGCACAGAGTCCAATGCAGGGCTCAAACTCACGAACTGTGAGATCATGACAGGAGCTGAAGTTGGACACTTAACCAACTGAGCCACCCAGGTGCTCCATGGCGCCCCTTTCTTATTTTTGATTTTGGTTTTGTTTATGTCACTGTGATCATATAGTGGTTAGTACTCTGCGTTGTGGTTTTGTTTATGCCTGTGCAGATGGTGCTTCAGTAAGCACATATAGTCATAGCTCCCTTAGCCCACCTGTGCTGACCCCACTGGCCGGGTAGCCATGGTCTCCATCCCACCGATGATGCACTGCCTGCTCCCTGCAACACATTTGTTCACCAGCAGCCTCTGTGGTTCACCCATGTGCCTCCTCTGCTCCCAGTAGTTGGGTCACAAGCTTTCCAAAGGACAGTTGTATCTGTCCCCAAACCAGTCTATGTCAGTGGTATTTGGATTAAGTGCATGTCCTAGTGCTATATAAGCCGATGAAATATGAGTGCAAAAAAGAGAATTGTTTATTTTACAAAAAAGGATGGAGTTCTTTGGGAAGATTCAGAAAAAAAAAGGGGTCCCTGGATATACTGCTCTCAATTTTTGGTGTGGGTGAGATAATTATAAGAGGTTGAGATACAGAATTTTAAAAATCTAGGAGGCATCTGCACACACATTGTTTCACAAGTACCTTTAAGCTCCAGCCCTGCTCCAAAAGCACAAAAATGGGAAGTGAGTTAATTCTCGTAGGTGTAGTTTACACAACAAAGAAGACCACGGGGTGCTCTAGACAACAGACTGAGACTCACAGCAAGAGCCTTAGCCTGGCATGGAAGGAACCCGCAGTTCCTTTCTTATTTCTGGGGATCAGCATTTTGGGATAAATAACCATTTGGGGAACTCATATAATGAATGCATGTATACATGAGATGCCTAGCATCAGGATTTAGAAAGCTGAAGTACTCTAATATGTTTGGAACTAGTGGCAAAAGGCGATCTGAATATAAAATTCAGTTTATAGATATGGTTTTATGGAGAAAGCTTTTACCTCCAAAGTGTCTCTAATCTCACATTTTTAGTTTTATTTCTTGAGCATAATCTCATTTTTCCATTTTTCCATTCAGCTCTTTTCCTCCCCACATACTTTATTGCCAGCCACTTTAGCCCAAGAGACATCATCTGCTATTGCACGCATCTCCATTAGGAACTTGCCTGTGAACTTCATCTTTTATTATTGTCATTTATGTTCTCAACACTAGTCATGTGCCCTGTAAAGCAGAACACCTCCAGAAAGTGCAGACAGAGCATCGTTGCCCACAGAGCTAGCAAGGGGTGTCGCAGCCAGGGACGGTTGGGACACCACCTCCTGGAAGCCCCAGAATCGCTCAAGTTCACCAGTATCTTCACCTCTCTGGATTACTCCACTGCCGGTTCAGCACCCCACGGAGGCTGGCCCTCTTTGGACCCACAGTGGCCTTCCTTGAGGTTTGGGTTTACCAGAAACGTCTCTAGGTAGTAGGTGCTACTTATGTAGGACTAGGGGACTAGGACCAAAGGGTGTCTGACTAATCTTAAAATCTAGTTACAGCAGACAATCCTAAAAGTGATATATACAAGCTACAAACATTTTATTTTTACTTTAAATATGCAGATGAGCATTTATCCATCAGGGTTTTGATTTGGGGCCAAGATCTTCTGTTCAATTATGGGTCTACACATTGCTGTACTGAGTTGCACTTCTTTTTTTTTTTTTTTTCTTAATATTGATTTATCTTTGAGAGAACGTGAGTGGGGAAGGGGCAGAGAGAGGGGGACAGAGGATCCAAAGCGGGCTCTATGTTGACAGGCTGACAGCAGCAAGCCTGATGTGGGCCTCAAACTCACGAACTGCAAGATCATGACCTGAGCTGAAGTAGGACACTCAACCAAGTGAGCTGCCCAGGTGCTCCCAAGTTGCATATCCTGTATAAACTTCATAAAAATATCACTATCTGTAATTTCCAGATCCTTGAAATTGGCATGAGCCAGGCAAAATGAGATGCACGAACTCCCCTGAATATCTTCTGACTCCTCTCCCTCCCTTACAGCTAGCTGCCTTGCCAGTTCCCACTTTGGCAGTGGTTTCTGCTCAGCTGCTCTCCTTTGTCAAGTCTTTCCAAAGCGTTCAACTTGGTTCTCGTAGAATGAGCATGTTTTCCTGCCTGCATTCATATTTCATTATGAATTACAGTAGTAACTAAAACTGGCCTTTAGCTGTTCGGGAATGCGCCCTTGTGTCCTGGGTAGGCAGGAAACACACATGGTACACCTGGCATGGTGGCAGGACTGGAGAGCAGCAAGGTGCCTCGGGCAGGCGTCACTCCAGGGTCTGGAGCATGGAGGGAAACCCCAGCTCATCAGATCGGTTGGCCGGGAGAGGTGGATTAAGAAAACTTCTACCATAGTAATACTAGAGTATTTGTACCAAGTCTCAGGAAGGGTAGAGGAAGAGGCCTATTCCTCTGTATTTCTTAGCCCCTGAGGGAAGTCTCAAAGGTGTGTGTGACCCATTCAGGAGCCAGAATGTGTCAGGGAAACTGGGAAAGTGTGCTGTTCCCAGCAAACTAGAGAGGCAGCTGCTGGTCAGGAGCCTGGGGAGGGTGTAAAAGGAGGCTGGCAGGCTTGTCCTGGGGCCTGGAGGAGACGAGTCTGCTCAGAACTCAGAGGAGTTTGTGGAAATTCCAGCCCCTTGTCTCCAGACCCCTGCAGGCCTGTCCTGCCCTCCATTCCTTACTTCTCCCCCTCCCCCCGTGGCCAGAGATAGAGGCATAGGGACTGAAGAGCTAATATTTGTGATGTGGTCTTGTTTAAGCCCCACAACACTACCGTCTGGGTCTGTGACCTAGAAATGGTGTTTCCCAGTGTGACCCTGTCAGGCCAGTTGGGGTGAGGAAAGGAGACCGAAACTCAAAGGGGTCAGTAATATGCTTATAGTCTTGTGGGCCCTCAGTGGTCAAGCAGGATCACCTGAGGCCTGCCGACCTCTTCACCCTTCATCTCAGACAACAGACTATGCGCTGTTCTCACGGAGCCAAATTTTAGGGTCTCTGCTAAGTGGGCCTCGGGAAGCCCAGCCCTCCACCCTGGTTCCCAGGCACGTGTAAGGACAGCCCATGCCTAAGTTGGGATTCCCTCTCCAGGGCAGACGTATGAGAAGAGACTTCCCTCCAACAGGGTCTAAAATACACACTCCTCTTTTGTGGATGATGAAGGCTGGGCAATAATGAAACTCCCATCAGGTGTGTGAACCCCTTGGGCTAGAGGAACACAAGGGTAGGAGTGGGGAAGGAGCAGGATAATGTAGTTCCCTTCTTCCAGACTCCCCCCCCCTCTAGCACCCCCTGTTGGCAGAACCCAACAGTTAGCCAGCTGGCAAGGGAGTCTGGGAAATGTGGTTTGCAGAGGTCTAGCCCCAGCATCTCAGAGCAGAGTCAAGAGCAGGTGACCTTGGCCTTGGAGACAGCCCTGCCTCATTAAACCGATACTGGTTGGGGCAGGGGGAATATGTCAAGTGTCACTTGCAGCCTCCCCTTGGGGAGGCTGAGAAACCTAGGGGAACAAGCTCAGTTTGCAATGGACTCAGTCTGAGTTGGTTCCATAAAGGTGGAGCCAACACACTACTAGAAAGGCAACGTAGAGTTTAGAGCAGAAGTGGTTAAACCTGTTGTTTAACCTTTAAAAAGCCTCGGGTGTATGGCAGCATTTAAACCTCCTAATAGGGTCATCTGGGGTGCCTTGCCTCTCATTGAAAATGCTCCTTGTCCTCATTCCTGGGGGGATTGTACCTTCAGCAGGAAAGCATTTTGGCTTTTGCATTTCCTGCTTCATTGTTTTATTGATTTTTCTAATTTCTGATACACACCAAATCAGAGTATGTCTCAATTAGACCTCAAGGACATTTGGCCTTATCCTAACTGCTCAGCTTTGTGCTATAAGCATCGGGGCTGACAGCTGTCCAAGGTGGAGGATGACAGACACACATTCGACCTGCTCATAGCCAATGACTCATCTCTATTTCAGACAATTAAAGCCACGGCTCAGACCCCTTGGAAAGGCAAGGAACGTGCTCTGTGTGTTAAGAAAACCCACACGAGACAATTTCAGTCTGTGATGTTGCATGTGTAGACATGGTCACTATTCTTTCTCTGTTAGTCTGGAACAGGCTAGTTTCATGGAATTTGACCATATTCAAAATTGTGACCTGACTCACACTTGGGCAAAAATGTCCTATCATCCCAGCCTTTTTTTCAAGTCCAGACCACCCTACCCACGGCTGCCAGAAGGCACTTCCTACCACACAGCTTTAATAGCACTGCTCCCTAGCTCTAGCACCATCACTGGCTCCCCAGTGCCCCAAGAATTAAGAATTAATTTCTAGAGCCTTATATAAATTTGCTTTTCTTAAACACATCTTTCACTAGCTCACCTGTTACCTTCTTGCAGGCCCACCTGCTGACATCCTACCAATCTGCAGACCCATTCAAATGTCATCTTCATTAACCCTTTGTAGACTCCAGGTCTCCACACAGTGCTCGGAGAGCACACTGACTAGTGGAACTGTCCTTGCTTGGCCGTGTACACTTGACTGTCTCACGTGTCCCTCACCCCCCATGCAGTGGGAGGTCCCAGAGCCTAGCATTCACATAACACAGAGTCTTGTTGGCCCTACAGGAGCTCACAGTGAGGTGTTGACTGGCACTGCTGCAATGGCCCAGGCATCTCCATGCCACAGGTAACCTCTTGGGAGCAGTGGCCAGAGGGTGGGAAGTTATTGGCCATTGCTTCCCAGGGGAATAAATGGAAAGCTAGGCAGAGGCAGAGTTCTTTTTGCTTAAGAGATTTTACCTCAGTTTGCTCAAGCAGCATCTCAGTTTTAAGGTTGCCTCACAGAATGTTCTGGAGCTCATCAAGGATTATTTTCCCTCAAAGCAGTGTTTTTACAAAGTTTATGAATTCCCTAGGACTGCAAAACACTCATCGATACTCTGTGTCCAAAGGGATCCATAATGAAATATTTGAGAAATGTTCCACTAATGATTTGGGGGTGCCTGTGTGGCTCAGTCAGTTAAGTGTCCAACTCTTGGTTTTGGCTCAGGTCATGATCTCACAGTTTCATGAGTTCAAGCCCCATGTCAGGCTCTGCACTGATGGCACAGAGCATGCTTGGGATTCTCTCTCTCTCCCTCTTTTTCTGGCCCTCCCTGCACTTGCACTGTCTCTGTCTCTCTCAAAATAAATAAATAAACTTTAAAAGTGGGGGGGGGGGCGCACTGTTGCAGACCTTCTCAGGGCCTTTAACACTGTAATATACATTATAGGGCTCCAAGAAGGGAGTACAATATGTGGCATTTCCCAGTACTTTTTTTTTTTTTTTGCTGCAGGAATTTGGGAGGGGGTGGAGAAGAACATCTTGAGAGTTTGGTGTTTTCTCATGAATGAACTTCAGGAAGTACTGTCTTAAATCGTGGACCTTAGGCACCATTTTTGACTACAGGTTTTAGTTAGTATAATCTGAAGAGAAAGAGTTAGTGGTGGGGATAGAATTAAAGACTTCCTAGATTGGAGGTGCCACGGTGGCTCAGTCAGTTAAGTGTCTGATTCTTAATTTTAGCTCAGGCCATAATCTCAGTGTGTAGGTTTGAGCCCCGTGTCAGTCTCTGCACTGAAAACACAGAGCCTGCTTGGGATTCTCTCTCTTCCTCTCTCTTAAAATAAATAAACAAACATATGTAAGAGAAAAACAAAAAACAAAACAAAACAAAACAAAAAGGCTTCCCTGGGGGCATCTAGGTGGCTCAGTTGGTTGAGCATCTGACTTCAGCTGAGGTCATAGTCTTGAGGTTCCTGGGTTCCAGCCCTGCATTGGGCTTTGTGCTGACAACTCAGAGCCTAGAGACTGCTTCAGATTCTGTGTCTCCCTCTCTTTCTGCCCCTCCCCTGCTCACATTCTCTTTCCCTCTCTCTCTCTCAAAAATAAATAAACGTTAAAAAAAAAAAAAAGACTTCCCAGACTGTGTTTTTCCTTAGAACAGAGGCATTCTGCATAGCAGTGTAAGAAACAAAGCCTAATGAAGCTTTGGAGGCGAGGCGTTCCTCACGGAGCCATCATTTTAAAGTGTGTGTTTCGCCGTCACAGCCCGACGGTTTAAATTACATAAGTTCCAAACGGATCATTAAAGCTTATGTGTAATTAGATTAATTAGACACAAGCCACACAAGATGTCCCAAATAACTGTGAATCTCTCTGTTTTCCAGTTCCTTCCACAAAGGGCGCATTCCGCCAGCCCTGCCTGCGTGACCCCCCATGGCACCGTTCTCCACCAGACCCTGGACTTCGATGAGTTCATCCCCCCTCTCCCACCTCCACCTTATTACCCTCCAGAGTACACCTGTACTCCCACAGCCGAGGCCCACAGGTGGGTCTTTCCGGAGATGGTGGTGGTGACTTGTATTGACACCAGGAAGATAGGAGGCAGTCTGGGAGGTGGGACTGGCAGGAGCCATGCTCATTTTCAGTGGGGCAGTTGAGCCAAGGAGAGCAACCATACGAAAGCATGTTTGATTAGAGGGCAGAGCGCGAGCAGGGAAAGAGCTCGAACCCTGGCTTAGATAGAACATGTCTACTGGGTATCGCTGCCGTGCAACAAAAGAGAACCTAGCCCGACGTGAGCGGCTCTATTATGTTCTCATGAAACGCAAAACTGCTATTGAGTAGTGGCCATTAACATAACATGTAAAATGTAATTAAAGATTTAATCGGCTCTGTGATTATTTTCATTTTAATGGACAGGGCCATAGAGTTTATTGAAAATGTCGATATCTTTCCAGAAAAAAAAAAAAAAAAAAAAAGAAAGAAAACACAAGAGTTAAAACTGCCTAGCAAATTAGACTTTTATTTCACAAGCACGATGAGTAATTGACCAGGGGAAACCCTGACAAGTGACGTGCTGATTGCCTTGAGAGAAATGTCAGCCATCCAGGCTCCTTCCCCCAGGAGTGACAGTGCAATGGTTCTGTCTTTTCAGGGGCCTCCACTTGGACTTTGCTCCCTCTCCATTCAGCACTTTGTATGATGTTGCCATCAACAGCCCTGGCCTGCTGTACCCCGCCGAGCTCCCCCCACCCTACGAGGCCGTGGTGGGCCCGACTGCCACCAGCCAGGTGAGGCCCAGGCCCCAGACAAGCCAGTTTCCTGTACTAAGGCCTGCTCCTTGCATTTGGTTTTCTAATGTTCTATTTATTTTTAAGAGGGCACAAGTCGAGGAGGGGCAGAGAGAGGGGGATAGAGGATCTGAAGCGGGTTCTGGCACTGACAGCAGTGGGCCCGATGTGGGACTCAAACTCATGAACCACAAGCCGAGGTCGGACACTCAACTGACCGAGCCACCCAGGTGCCCCTGCTTCTTGCATTTGTATTTCTCTCTAAGCCTTAGAACAAACCTGTGGTCTTATCAACACTCATGAAGAGCAGGCAGCAGCCTCAGGGAGTAGAAACTGCAGAGGCCCCACCCCAGGCCTGGAGATGCCACCCCAATATTTATGTATTGCCCCCTGGGCTCTTGTCAGATGCATGCGAGCTAGTGTGTCTGGGGACACAGTGCTGAAGGAGCTGGTACAGATTCAAACGCATGAGCAGGGACAGAGCTCAGGCTGTGAACCGAGAACCCAGGGGACTCTGGCCTGTTCCAGCTGCATGCCTCTGTCGCTGTCTCCTGGGAGGTGAGAAAGCAGTGCTGGATCCCTGGTCCTGTCTGAGGCCTGGCAGCTACAGGCCAGGGAAGTGCCAGAGCCGCAGGTAGGAGTAGCTGGCTTTCTCTGAACTGGGCAAGCCAGGTGTTCCCACAACCTCCCGGTGTCTGACCCACAACAGGCACACACTGGGGATGTGTTGGTGGAGCCTCAGTTTCTTCATCTGTAAAATGGGGATCATAACAGTACCAAGCACATGGGGTGGAACGGGATGTTTGTAATGGACCCAGCACAGTGTTTGACATAGAGTGGGCTCTGATTCGCAGAAGCCAGTTGCCCTTTTCAATGGCATCATCCTCATCATGGTTATCATCACATGTGTCGCTCCTGAATATCCAAGGCCCCTAGCCAGGGAGGAGAGATGTGAACACTCAGAAGGTCACACAGCACCCGCGTGTGGGACAGGCTGTGGGGAGGCCACAGGTTGAGGGGTGCACATGGGGAGCACAGCAGTCCAGCAGAGAATGGGCACATGCAGGGGAGCTGAGAAATCCTGCCAAGAATGGGGGCTGCAGCCTGTTCTGGGCCCCGAGCCCCAGGCAGAGGAGAGTGGGCAAAACCATGACCAGGAGCAACCACAGGGCACCAAGACACAGTCCTGGGCCCGTCCAGATGCACACACCTTTGGGCTTCTCCCCTGGCATCCCAAGTCACCTGCCAGGAAGTGGTGCCAGCCTCAGACCTGGCCCAGACCTTCTGTGTCCTCACAGCCCCTTTGAGATCTGGAGCCCACATGGTGAGAAGGCCAGGAGGCAGTGCCTGTTCTCCTCTGGGCCACCCCCTGGGGAGCTTCTGACCCTCAGGGACCTCTGGGGGTGCAAACCTAAAATGGGTGTTCAGACTCAGCCTCCACAAGCTTCCGGAGATAATTGCACCCACAGGGGAGACCACATTCTGCAGGCTGGGTGTTGTGGGACAGAAAGGGAAGGTAAGACCTATCCACCTCTGTGCCCAGCGGGACCTTGGCTACACGGTTTTTGCAAGAAGGATTCTCCACGAGGGTCACTTGCGCGGGTCTGCTCAGCCCATCCCCAGCCCACCCTTGCAGAGGTGACAGCCTGGCCAGCTGAGCCTCTGAGTCTCCCATCTCTGCCTACTCTCGCCCTGAAATGTCCTAGCCCAGCTCACCAGGCTGCAGACAGCAAACAGGGACTCGGCCAAGGACTCTTGGCTTTTTTTTCTGTCCACAGATGTGTAGGAACCGCCTGAGGTCCGGGTGCAGAGGTGGAGGGGAGGGGATTCATTAGTGAGGGGGCAAAGTGTGACTGAAATCTCATTTCTAAACTTACAATGATTGAAATCCTCTTGAATTTTTTAAAAATCTGAGTGGAGAATTCTACCTTTCCGAAATGATTTCTTTTCTTCTTGATGATAAAAATAATTCAAATCAGGGGCGCCTGGGTGGCGCAGTCGGTTAAGCGCCCGACTTCAGCCAGGTCACGATCTCGCGGTCCGTGAGTTCGAGCCCTGCGTCGGGCTCTGGGCTGATGGCTCAGAGCCTGGAGCCTGTTTCCAATTCTGTGTCTCCCTCTCTCTCTGCCCCTCCCCCGTTCATGCTCTGTCTCTCTCTGTCCCCCCCCCAAAAAAAATAAATAAACGTTGAAAAAAAAATAATTCAAATCAATGTTATCAATGGCAACTGTGTCCTGTGAAGAGAGTCAGAAGTACTCTGAGGGGAGCCCCCGTGCACTGCTGGAGGGTGCTGAAAAGGGGCATCCAATCCATTTTTGGGCGACCCGGGGAGCCTCTGTGAGCTGAAGGCTCAGGCTGAGTGGGGTGGCAGGTGGCTAGGCTCACAAGGAGGGACCACGCAGCATGCGTATCCTCAAAACACAAAGCCACTCAGGATGAGTCTGAAATGAGTGCAACATGGGTGGCGGGTGACCTCAGCGAGGCTGGTTGGATTCTGGGGCCATCAGGACATCCAAGCAAGTGTCCACGAGATGATAGGGTCTATGGCTTGGAGCCTTGGAGAGATCAGAGTTAGCCACAGAGGTGGTCACCAAGTCAGGGAACCAAGTGGGGAGAGCTCTATGGAATAACAATACTTTGGGATGCTAGAGAAAGAGGCTCCCCCAGCACAGGCTGCAGAGTAGAAAGAGGGCCTGGACTCACAGACACATGGTTCAGGAAGGGAGAGAGGGGCCAAGTGCTGCCCAGAGACGGTGAAGGGCTGACACTGGTCCCCCGCTGGCTCACCATCCAGATTACTGGTGACTGCGGCAGGAGCAACTGCAATGGGGCAGTGGGGCAGGTGCCAGCATTGGCTAGAGGCAGGGATGGGACGTGGGGAGGTGTAGCAGTGGTCTGTCCCCATGGTTTTTGGATTCCAGTGGGCATCCCAGGCTTGTCAATCAAATACAGATGGCTGAGCCCACCCCAGAGTTTCTGAGTCCATAGTTGGGGAAGGGGAACCTGCCAAGAATTTGCATTCCGGGGGTTTCTGGGTGGCTCAGTCGGTTAAGCGTCTGACTCTTGATTTCAGCTCAGGTCAGGATCTCAGGGTTGTGAGCTCAAGCCCCATGTTGGGCTCTGTGCTGATAACACAGAGCCTGGTTGGGATTCTCTGTCTCTGTCTCTGTCTCTCTCTCTGTCTGTCTGTCTCTCTCTCTGTCTGTCTCTCTCTCTGTCTCTGTCTCTCTCTCTCTCTCTCTGCTCCTCCCCTGCTCTCACTCTCTCCCTCTCTCAAAATAAATCAATAAACTTAAAAAAAAAAGAATCTGCATTCCTACCTAAGTTCCAGCTCCTGCTGCTGTGTTCCTCTAGGGACATGCTTTGGGAACTGGAGTGGATCATTCTTGTGAGATGCTTGGCAAAGAGGAGAGAAGATAGGAGATAGTTAAGGAGACTGTGGGCATAGGGCATGAGGATGTTACCAAAGGGACGTGGAAGGGTCCAGACAGTGGGAGCACCTGAGCCAGGGTTGGGGAGGGAAGTCCCTCGAAGGCGGAAGGGGGATGCTGAGCCAACCTCAGATGGTCTGCTCTGCCCTGTAACCAGCAGGGGCACCAGGCAGGGCAGCAGATGGGCCTGGAAACCCCAGCAAGCCCACAGGGGTGTGTGATTCTCCATGGCTGCCTTGGGGAGAAGGAGGAACTCTGCCACCACCCCCCAGCTGCTGCCAGTTGCCATCACAGAATTTGAGCTCCGTCCTGGGGCCGAACTTCGGCCTGCCCATCTGTCCTCCCATTTGTGAACGGTTACTCCCATTTCTAGAAGAGAAAATGCCACAGAAGGGTGAGTGACTGTGCACACTGCCCTGTAGAGAGCAGCAGGACTTCTCAGAGCCCTTTGCTTCTCAATCCTGATGACAGGGAACACCCACCCCCAACAACACTCCTCATGATGAGTGTGGAATGCCCACGTCCAAGCCTGTCAGGGACCCTGGATGCTGGAAAGTGGCCTCTGCATTTGGGTGTGACATTCGATGCACACCATACTGGCATACCAGAAGGCTACTGAGGAGTGTTTTATCGCTGATTTACTCTTTTTTCTGAAGCATATAGAATACAGATCTTCCTTGACTTACAGTGGGATTTTCAATCCAAGAAACCCATGTGCTTTGAAAATATCCTTAATACCCCTAACCTACCGAACATCGTAGCTGAGCCCAGCCCAACTTAAGTGTGCTCACAACACTTCCATTAGCCTGCAGTGGGGCAAAAGCATCTAATACAAAGCCTGTATTTTTAAAAATATTTATTTATTTATTTATTTATTTATTTATTTATTTAGAGCAAGGAGGGGGCACAGAGAGAGGGAGAGAGAGAATCCCAGAGAGAGAGAATATGCACTGTTAGCACAGAGCCCAACATGGGGCTTGGACCCATGAACCATGAGATCATGACTTGAGCCAAAACCAAGAGTTGGATGCTTAACTGACTGAGCCAACCAGGCACCCCACAAAGCCTATATTACAATAAAGTGTTGACTATCTCGTGTAATTTATGGAACACTGTACTGAAAGCAAAGAACAGAATGGTTTTGTGGGTGCAGAATGGTTTTGTGAGGGTGTCCGTTGTTTACCCAGTCGAGTGGCTGGCTGCCTGGGAGCTGTGGCCACCCACCTCTGCCCAGCATCATGAGAGAGTACCATACTGCATATCACTATCCTGGGGGAAGAAAATCCAAAGTCAAAACTCAAAGTACAATTTCTTTCTAACTGAGCGTGTATCACTTCTGTACCATCGTAAAGCCAAAAAATCCTAAGTCAAACCATCATAAGTTGGAGACCGTTTGTATGGGGGAGGATAATACTGGTTCTAATATGACACCGTTCTCCAAAACTATTGAGAATTCTCTAAATGGAGATTTCTTTCACATGATTTTGGTGAGAAAATCCTTAAGGGCAAAGGAAGGCCTGTCTCCTATTGCGTTGGCTCAGAACCCACCAGCTTACAAGTGCCTGCACAAACATTATGTGTGCAAGAAGTACATGTCTGAATGGCCTTTCTCTGCGCTGGCTCTTCGGGGAGGGGGGCAGCATCTGGTGATTACGGGGCCACTGCAATGCTCCCCTCAAGGGGAAGCCTGTGCCTTGCTGGGCCCATTCTCTTTGACCCTGTGGTCTGGCAGCACTTTTCAATTCCACAGACACCTCTAGGAGTCTAGAAGCCAGTGAAACTCGTTCCCATCCACAGAGGGAAGGCTGCGCCAGCCAGCTGCCCCCCTCCCCTGGGGCAGTCCCCCCACCTGAGGACAGCAAGGAGCTGCCCCCCCTTTACGGCACAATCCTTTGTCACAGGGCAAGGCAGAGGTTAATTACTTCCCCTTATGGACAAACAGCACGTAAATTGTCTATCAGTACTCGTTTGGATAAAGAGAGGAAGACAGACTGACAGAGGAGCAAAGCAGGCATTGTGTGGGCTCTGGACAGGCGGCAGGAGGCCGCTCCTTTGGGAGAACTTTTTGATGCGGGAAGGAAAAGCTCCCTTGACTGAGCACATTCATTCTGATCCATTCACTCTCCTGGATTGGCCACAGGCACGTTCTGTTCTCTGTTTGCAATGTCCTTCTCTTTCCCATGGCTTAAGACCGTACCTTGAGGGCAAGATCAGAAGGAGTGCATTTCTTTCTATAGCCAGAAAGTTACTGAGAATTTGCCAGTGTGCTATTCCTGTGGATGACAAGCTTACATTTCCAAGGACCATGGAAAACTGTGCTATATTCTATAGAACACAGAGCCATGAACTGAACAGAATCCCTTCCTTGTGGGACTCACAGGCTGGCATGGTAACAGGACGGCCTCCAATGAACTTTGCTGGGACTTCAGGGGAAAAAGGTAGAGTGGGATTGGCGTGTGAACAATGGAAAAGGTCTCCAAGGTGCAGTGTAGACAAACAGTGCTGCGACAGCCTGGGACCCGGCTGGGGAGCTTAGGGTAATGAAGGAGGTTCATTGACATCATTTGGGTACAGATTTCATGACCCTGCGTGTCAAACTATAGCAGTGCCTTTGACAAGTTTGACATTTGGAGTTGACACGATCCAGCGGCACCTTGGGAATTTGAATTTGGTGGCAGTCTGGTGAGTAGGAGGGCAGCCTGAGGTACGAGGCTAGAAATGCTGAGGCAATGGACACAGGAGAAGCGCAGCCGACCACAAGTCCTAAAAGTCAGTATTTATATTTTCAAACAAAATCACTTTTGCATTTAAAAATCTGTAAGCAAAGTAGCTTCAAAGATTGCCTTGGGACACTAGGCTAAAATCTTAATTCACATTTTCTGTGATTACAGCCAATTGCCCCCAAAGAACAGCTCTTTATAGTTCTGATACTAGCTGGTTGACCTGACCCAGGAGTGGGGAATTTGCTACCAGAAATAGGGGAGAGTTTTCACGTGGTGTGTCTTAGCCACAGAGCTTCCCAAAAGAAAGGGAGATGAGGAGATGCGGCTTATTTGCATAAATGCCAACTGACTTTTTAATCACAACTGGTCACTATAATGTGTCTGGGAACAAATAAATGCAGCCTCTGAGTGTCCCATGTGAGGCCATACACACAGCATCTCCTCTCAGTGGCCCTCTCCTGCAAGAGCTGTGTTATAAACTTTTATTGCTAAACTAGAGTTTCACTTTAAATTCTGTGCCACAAGTATGTTTCTTCTCCACCCTTTTCCGCCGCCCTTATATTTAATCGAAAATGCCGTGTGAACCTCACAGCTATTTCCTCCACAGCTTTCGTGTGGCAAGGTGGCATTGGCCATGAGGGAAGGCCAAATTCAAATTAAACCCTTGACACCCTGCTTACCAGATGTGATAGATACACTGCCAGGAGCCGTCTCCTCTCAAAACCAGATTTGACCGGGAGCCAGAGGGAAGCCAGTGATGCTTCTATGAAATATGAAATGAATCCAATTTCCTCCTGACCTTGTCCCATGGTGCATTTTATTCCTCTTGTTTTATTTATATTTCTTTATTACCAGAAGCTTTTCTTCAGGCATCAGGCCTCCAAGTTGCCACCCATCCCTGCAAAATTTAAAAAAAAAAATGTTAAGGGTCAGGAGGAGTATGGAAGGAAACGCACCTTGAGGATATTGTTCCTTTTTGTGTGATTTCGCAGAATATTCTCAACAGAGATTTCCAACATTGGTTGTAGGCATAGAGTGATTTCAGTGAAAAGGAAGGTGAGTGTTGGTGGCCGTGTGAGTCTCCCTCCCCCGAATTCCTCCCCAGCAGAACGGGATTGTGCTGAGGAAGGAAAATAGTGCATGCAGTATTACACATAGTTGGGATCAAAGGGAACATTTAGGCAGCTCTGGTTCTTCCCCACAAGTGCGGTTCTTGCCCCCCAAACCCTGTCGCACATTCCCCGCCCCCGGGGGCACGGTTCACCTGTTTTGTGTTGGTGAGAGGCCTGCAGCCTGGTTGAAAGAGCCGAAGGTGATCAGCTGTCTGATTGAAGTAGCAGGAGACAAGGGAGGCAGAGACGTAATTACCTGAGCTGGAATGGGACCAAGCCGCAGGGGACCCCCTGAACTTCCCAGGCCTCCCCCTGAGCTCATTATTTGCAAGCAAGTCCCCAAAGCAATTCTGAAATAATACAAGGATTCAGAAATCATTTTCTGAGATAGCACAGGGGCACATGTATGTGGTATTTGTGACACCCAGACACATGGCCCATGTGGGACCATTGTGCCCTACAGTAGGGGTAGAACAGATGTGGTCACAGTGGGAACCGAGTGTGCGAGCAGAAGATGGGCAAGTGAAGACAGGGCAAGAGAGCAGATGTGCCCTACCCTCACCCAGCCAAGGAGGCCTGGTCTTCCCCTGCTTGTCCTCCCGATGGCCTCTCTGGGCTGAATGATCTATTTGAGAAGAAATATGCAAGAGCATGATAACTTCCAACATGATGCAAGCTTCACAGCCACTCAACACGACAGGACAGGACAGTATGCCCAGGGCCACGGGGCCTGCGCTCAACCCGGCACATGGCCTGAGTGGATCTGGACCTTGAACCCAAGCTTGGACAGGGAGGAAAGCCTTCTGAGTAACCTCTTGATTCCATCTGCAGAAGGCAGGAGGGAAATGGGGCAAGCACACGCTATGGGGGAGTGTGCGAGCTCACCGAGGCCAAAACTGTCTACTAAATGCCCACCCTGTGCCCAAGCCGTGCTGGCCCAGAGCATTACAGGTCTCTTGACTGTCCCCCTGTGGCTTTATTCTTCTTGTGTGGAATCAGGGAAAAGAGTTGTTGGGAGGAAGGGGTTAGAAGTGAGGCCAGGGGCTCTCCTACCTCCTGCAGTGACTCTGGAGGATCCTATGTGGCCTCTTTCAGTCCCAAAGAGTGCTCCCTAGAAGTGGAAAGTGAGTGGGCTGAGGGTGGCTGGTGCCTGGCCCTGGTAGGCTCTTGGGGACTGCTTGGCACTCTGATTTCAGAAAGAGAAACAGGCTTTGGCCTTGGCAGCAACCCTCTGGCCTTGGCATCCTCACAGCCTGACTCCATAAATTTAGGGGAGAATGGCAGACGTGTAAGTACATGTCACTTAGTACTTCTTTCTAGAAGATGAGCTTTGAAGTCAGCCTTGATTTCTGGAGTCTGTTGTGCTGTGCCCTTCAAACTACCTGATGACCTGTTTCTTGCTGTAGCTTACCAGTGTAGATCAGCCGGCGACTGAGCCCAGCCCCGGGGACCCAGATGCCACTGCTGGCTTCAGCACACAAGGTAATCTTACCCTTTTGATCATTTGAAATAAGTTTATACTTCTCAAAGCATGTTTCCTTCCCTCCTACTTCCTTCTCTCCTCCTTCCTGCAACTGCCTTCCCACCATTTCTTATTCTTTAAGGGGATAGAATTTGCTACAGCTTCTGCTGTTTAGTACCATATTAGTTCTCCACAGTTCCTCCCTTACTGGCAGCGGTAGTAAGTCAGTACAGCTGGGGGACCTCATGCTTTCTGTGGTGGGATTTGCCCCCCTCTACTCCAGCGCCTTTCTCCTCGACTTGAGGGATATGGGTTTGAAGGAGCGCTTGACTCAGTCTGGGACGGACACTTCCCTGAGCAAAAACTGTACCAAGCTCACATCCACTGGGCTCCTCCCTCAGGAAGGGGCCAGGCCTGGGCCCCTGGGCCCCTGGGCCCACTGGCTTTGAGGGGGGGCACTGGGGAAAGGACACTACCAGTTGTGTCGTGGAACGCATTGAAGGAAAAATGTGGAAGGTCCGATCTCAGATGTGGGGTGGGAGCCGCAAGGCAAAGCCAGAGGTGAGGAGGTAGTTGAGGTGTCAGGAGAGCAGACAAGCCTGAGTAGCAGAGGGACACATGGATGAGGGTTGGGTGTTTCCATCTTCTTTGGGTCCCCAGGTGGGCTCATGGGGGCAGGTTTGTTCAAAGACAGAACTCAGCTAATTCGTGAGAGGACTAAGGGTCTCAGAAAGGACACCCATTATAGTCCCAGGGCTGTCTGCCCTTGACCCCAACTCTTAGTTAACATCTGAGAAATATGAAGGGGCCATCCTTCTGTGAGGACGCCTCTGGGTTGTAGGAAGCCTGGTCTCTGCAGTTGTGGGATTTGGAAGTGACCTTGTCCTTTACCTGGTGGCTCCAAGCAGTCATCAAAAGCTGTGTCTAAGAGGTGGTGTCCTGTGACCTTCCTAGAGACTACTTCAGGGCACAGTGTGTCTCAGTCCCCCAGTGCATTCTAGACTTTGGGCTGAGGGGGCTCCCCCTTCTCCATCCCAGCCCCATCACTCCTGAAAACACAAGTTCTGGAGGAAAACATGGTTGGAAAGGCCGAGCAGCCTGGTGGCTCCTGGAGTCCAGGGCAGATAGTGATGGACAGAGGAGTCAGGAATTCATCCGGGCTAGGCCTTCCTCACTGCTCAGGCTCCAGACAGTTAACTGGGCTTGACTGAGAAGCTCGGGGCTGCTTCCAGCACTGACTTCTGGCAGAGGGGCCAGGCCTAGAAGTGGGCAGGAATATATGGAGAAGTACTGACAGAGGCTCATGGGATGGCAGGCCAAGCAGGATTCACTGTAGAAAAGATTGCCCCCCCCCCCCCACTGGGTAATTTCTATATGGGCTGAGGTTGAGGTCAATGTCATTTTTGGGGCTATGCATATCCAACTGTCCCAGATCATTTATTGCTTTTGTTCCTTTGTCAAAACCCAGCTGGACATAATGGCATGGGTCTATTTCTGGGCCCTCTTATCCTGTTCCATTAATTTGTGTGTCTGTCCCTCTGCCACTAGAACCCTCTCCTGATGACTGTTGCTCTGTGGTGAGCCTTAATATCAGGCAAGCCCGACCTCTGCTTTGCTTTTCTTTGTCAAGATTGTTCTAGGTACTCTAGGGTCTATGTATTTCCATGTCAATTTTAGAATCCACTTGTCTGTGTCTATAAAAACTCTAGCTGGGAATTTAATAGGAATTTCATTCAATTTGGGGGGGGCGGTATTTATTGTTTGAGAGAGAGACAGCGACAGAGCATGAGCAGGGGAGGGATAGAAAGAGGAGGAAACACAGAATCCAAAGCAGGCTCCAGGCTCCCAGCTGTCACCACAGAGCCCAACAGGTGGCTTGAACTCACCAATCATGAGATCATGACCTGAGCTGAAGTTGAACGCTCAACAGACTGAGCCACCCAGGTGCCCCGGAATTGCATTCAACCTATAGAGCAATTTGGGTGGAATTGCTATCCCTGCAAAGCTGAACATTCTTGTGTAGGAACATAGTACATCTGTCTCTCTGTTTATCTGGATCTTCTTTGGTTTCTTTCATCAGTATTTTATCATTTTCAGAATACAGATCCTGAGCATGTTTTGTTAAGGGCATACTTAGGAATTTCATTTTCTGTGGAGCATCTGTAAATGGTATTCTGTTTTTACTTTTGGTTTCTGCCTGCTCATTGTTAGTACATGTGCCCAACCATGGGACAGATGTGATTCATTCTTGTGTGATTTCTCTTGCATCCTACAACCTTGTCGGACTCACAAATTTAGCTCTAAAATTTTTTTGGGGGGGGGGGGGGGGGAGGGAGATAAATTCTAGTATTATTTTTCACCTATTGAAATAAAATAGTAATGGGGATATGGATGCTGGCAAGGCCGCAGGGAGGTGCTTTACCCAGCCCTGACTGGCAGCTTGGAACTCAACCCTTTTGACAGAGCATCTTGATAAAGAGCCATAAAATGTTTATGCCATTAGATGTGGTGATCACACTTCTAGAACTGCCCGAGGGAAATAATGCAAAAAAAAAAAAAAAAGAAGAAGAAAAAAGAAGAAAACAAAAAATAAAACCATAAGCATGAAGATAACTTTTGTTTTTCATAAGAATAAAAACTTACAGGGACAATGAAGTCCATTGGTAAGAGTTAAGGAAAATATGTTACGTATGCTAAATATATCATCATACATTAATTAGGAGAAATTGTGATCTATTTAGGTGAAAAACTGCAAGTCCACTGGGATTATTACTACCATACAGTCTCACAGCACAAGCCAGTGAGGGTGTACAAGAATGAGTTACTGTCTTGGCCTATGAGCTTTCCCTATAATGCTACCCTAATCTTATCTTTCCATTACTTATAGATATTCAGAGCTAAGTCACATTTCTCTCTCTGTGACTCTGTTTTCCTGATGAACTCAGCCATTGGATTATCACAGACTTTAAGAAAATTGGGACTGAGGCACCTGGGTGGCTCAGTCAATTGACTGAGTTTCTAACTTTTGATATCGGCTCAGGTCATGATCTCACAGTCATGGGATCGAACCCCGTGTCAGACTCCACGCTGACTAAGGAGCCTGCTTGGGATTCTCTTTCTCCCTCTGCCCCTTTCTCTCTAAACAAACAAACAAACATTATTAAAAAAAAATTGAGACCAAGGGTATATTATTATGTCCAGTCTCATCAAATGGTATATATTAAATACATACAGGTTTTTGTATGTCAATTATACCTCAATAAAGCTGTGAAAAAGCAAGAAAGCTGAGTTCAAGGAGGATCAGCAGGAAATAAATATTCTTCAAAATAGTTTTAATATACTTCTGTGTAATGTTGATAGAATTAATAATTATGCTTTCTGGTTTGAAGTGTTCTAATGATACAGGGAAGTATTTCTTCTCTACATTTATACATTCACCTTTGAGTGTTTGCCCAATCAATTCCTTAGAATAAATTCCTAAAAGTGAAATTGCTGAGGCCAAGGAAATGTGTATTTTAGGTTTTGATGTGTTGGCCACATTGCATTCTAGGAAGGTTTTCTTGCTGGTTTGCACACCCAGCAGCAGTGTTTATGACACCCCAAACATCGTCATTCCTGGTGATCTTTGTCACTCTTGCAGGTGACTGTAGTACACACACAAGATTGAGTGTGAACAGCTTTTTACACATTTAGTACCTAAGTGTAGGTCAGTTTAGGGTCCACTTTTTTGCAGTGTTTTGTGGGGTTATTTCTTTCTTTTTTGGTAGATTTGTAAGAAAACTATCACTTAAATAGAGACATTTTCTCACTTTTCCTATTCACTGTAGGGATGCTTTCCCTGTTAATGATGCCTGTTGCTATACACAGTTTTAGAATTTTTCTTGCCAGATTTATCAAACTTTTCCATTCTGGTTTCCGTCATGGTGACAACGTCTTTCTCCACCCTAAGTGTAGACTTATTCTCCTATTTTCTACTACTATACTTCTAGTATTTTTTTTTTAAATTTTTTTTTTTCAACGTTTATTTATTTTTGGGACAGAGAGACAGAGCATGAATGGGGGAGGGGTAGAGAGAGAGGGAGACATAGAATCGGAAACAGGCTCCAGGCTCTGAGCCATCAGCCCAGAGCCTGACGCGGGGCTCGAACTCACAGACCGCGAGATCGTGACCTGGCTGAAGCCGGACGCTTAACCGACTGCGCCACCCAGGCGCCCCTATACTTCTAGTATTTTAAAAAAGAAAAGGATTAATCATTCTGAAGAATGTTTCAAGTTTATTTTGAGAGAGAGAGCATGTGCAGGGGAAGGGCAGAGAGAGGGAGAGCAAGAGAGAATCTCAAGCAGGCCTCACACCATCAGTGCAGAGCCCAATGCAGGGATCGAACCCACGAACCGTGAGATCAACACCTGAGCAGAAATTAAGAGTCGGACTCTTAACTGACTGAGCCACCCAGGCACCCCTGAAGATTTTTTTTTTTTTTTGCATATGATTTGTGAGGTTCAGTTCATCTTTCTGTTTTCCAGAAACAGCATCTATTGGGAGGGCAAGGGTAGACAGTGCAGGGCTGGGGAAGCAAGAGCACTCTAGAAGTGGGCTGCTTCCAACCAGCTCCACCACTTGGCGGCCTCACAACCCTCTTCCCCTGAGGTCGCTTAACCGTGTTTCCGGAGTGGTTAGCTGGTGGGCCATGAGGATTACGTGGGAGGTCACCTGTAAACCTCGTGGCAGTGGGGAAGCTCTCAGAAACAGAGCGCACTGGCAACAGAGAGGCCTCCCACAGGACCCACAGAAAGGGATGGATGGGACAGACCCCAAAGCTTCCCACCCTGGAGTTGTTCAGGCTCCTGTGAGTCTTACAAAGCATCCCCCAGGTGAGCTGCTCACCTCAAAAATCTACTCCTGTGGAGTGATTTGCCTCACAGCAAGCAGCTGTGACGTTGCCTGGTGATGGGATCAAAGAGCAGAGGGAGCAATGCTTCTCAAGCTTTAAAAAAATTTGCACACAGGTCCCTGAGATTTTAAGACAGATTTTGATCCAGTACCCCTGGGTAAGGAAGGCCCTTGGAGTAGTGAGGGGCTAGAGCCCGATCTGACCAGCATCACAGGGATATAACAGTGGGTCGCACACTTAAGGGGCATCAGAATCCCCTAGGGGCTTGTTTGAACCCCCATGGCTGGGCCCACCCCCGAGTTTCTCATTCATTGGGTCAGAATTCTGCCATATCCCCAGGCAATGCTGATGCTGCTGGCCTAGCCCACACTTTGAGAATCAGGTGGGCATCACCGGGCTGGTTCCTGCACCTGCCTGACCAGTGCACGGCTTGCACTTGAGGCCCCAGGCTGTACCCTTCTGTGTGGGGCAGGCAGGTTCTCAGGCCCATGAGGACCTGGCTAGGATGCCCTGATGTCCCCCTGAGCCCTGCCCTTCTCTACGTGGACCCTGTTCATGGAGCACCCTCTGACCTCCACCTTCCTGTACTTCAGATCCCCCAAGGGATACCCTGGATAGGAGATGGGGCTGGTTTCCAACTTTTAGTCTCTTGTGGAGTGTGAAGGGTGTACATGCCCCCACCCTATATCCCTCCTGGGAATGATTCTTGAGAGATCATCTGGTGTCCCCCAAAACCTTTCTAACACCACAGAGCATCTGTAGACCTGTTCGGTGTTCACACGCCCCCAGGATTACAGGTTTGTCTAGATTTGGCATTGAAGAGCAGACTGCTCAGGCCCCCTGTGGGGGAGCTCCAGGAGGCTGAGATTTTCACTCTCAGCTCCATCAGGGGTGTGAGCAGTCACTGTGCCTGTCTCGGGTGGCTCTGTGGTGGCCCATTGCCAGTTCTAACACTAGGTCCCTTGCCTTGCAGAGCCCGCAGATAGCTCGAGCCTCCTGGCATCCGAGGGTGCCACCGCACCAGGCCTAAGCCCTGAGGGCCCTGTGGGTGCCTCACAGCCCCTGCCACCTGACCTCGAGTCCCCTGAGGGCCCTGACCAGGGCACGCAGGCACTGCCAGGTCCCGGGCGTGTGGCCCGCTCCACCAGCGACCCCACTTCGTGTGCATCCAGTGTGGCAGGTACGACTGGCCCAGCCCTCTTGTGCCCCCAGCGTGTGCCCTACTCTGCCCTGGACACTGCAGGCCTCAGTGAGCTGAGAGTCAAGGCCAGGCCTTGGGACCTCGGCTTAGGGGCCACTTTGGGAATGTGGTCTTAATGCCCTAGGGCTCTAGGGAGGGAGAGACAGTCAGGGGCCCCTGTTGTGTACCCACCAGGCTTTCCACTTTCTGGCTGGGGAGTAAGGAGAGAAAGGATGGAAGGCTTGGGGTGATGAGAGCCCACTCGGGGTCAGCTAGCCCCTGATATTAGCCTGCTGGTTGTACCCCAGCTCTGGGGCCCAGGTGGGCACTCAGGTCAGGCAGATGACCACAGGCTGTATCCATCCATCAGCCAGGACTAGCCTGGGCTCCACCCTTTTGGAAGTGCCAGTGCCTGCTGAGTGGTCTGGTGGGACCCAGGGCCACATAAGGTATGTCTGTGTCTCAGTGATGGCTCTAGGTGGGTGGGGTGCCCTCTAGCTGGAGCTGCCCCCAGCAGAAGGGGTGTGTCTCCAGTAGCATTTCCTGGGCACCCTTGGCAGCACTCCATGTGTGTGGCTTGGAGCTGGGGTCAGAATCACCCACATGACTCTTGAGTTGGGCGGTGCCTTCCCTGGGCTGCAAGACATGGCATCAGAGTTCCTGGATTTGCACTTCACACCAGCTCCCCAGGTGGTCTTGTGCATCCTGAGGTTGGAGAACCCGTGCTTCCTCCCATGATGCTAGGTTTTGAGGGGGGAGGACAGACGTGTCTTTGCCAGTAGAGACTAGTGGGTATCATGGCTTCAGGGCCATTGGCCTGCACGCTTCGTCCAGTGAAACTGTAAGAACCCTGAAGAGGCCCCCTGGCTGCCTGGACTCAGTGGTGTTGGGCCAGCTGACCTCCAAATAGACAAGACCCATGCCCCAGGAGAAGTGTATCCCTGGAAGGAACTAGGAACCCACGGAGGTCATTGCCTACCAGGGCCCTGCTGGTGGAGACGTCAGAGTTTGCACCTGGAAGCTCTTTGGCCTGCAGTCCTCTATCTCGCTACCTCCCCTCCCACATTCAGTTACCAGCTCACTAGACAAGATCCCATAAGACTCTTCTCCTGAAGCAGCCCCCCACACACACACACCTCCTTCCCCTGTGCTGGGCTCCTCTGAACCCAGGCTCAGCCTTCTCCCTGCTAGGGCTATTACACGTGCATGTTTAGGGGAGTGTCTACTCTGTGGCCCCCTGATGGCTTCCTTTGGCCTATCCTCCCCTCAGGGAAATTTGGACTCCACAAACCATTACATTTTAGGGGTGAGGATGGAGAGAAGACGAGTCACAGTGCCTTCTCTGCGTCCCCACACCACCCTGTTGGCACAGCCTCTTTGCAGCTCCACAGGACAGTTACTGTTCTATGTGTCAAAAGCATGTGGCTTCCCGCGGTCTCTGGGGACCTTCAGACATGGGATGGGGCGGAGGGGAGGCATTCTGATGAAATACACTGGGTTTGCTTGTGGCATTGGCTGCTGTGCTGTGCCCAGCCAGGGGACACTGCCTGCCCTGTGGCAGATGCCGGCTGTGGGGCTGCTTCTGTGTGATCCATGCACAGGTTTGTTTAAGTTCACGAGTTTTCCTCTGCTTATCCAGCATCTAAAATCTATCTCTTACCTGAGGGAGGGTGATTATAGTGTTACGGGGAATGCCTTTTTCCGTTTCATGTGTTACCAGAGTTCTCTCTCTGATTAAGGCAACACCTCTTCGCATCCGCCCTCCTGCAGCCAGGACCTTGAAGCAGGACTGGCCAGGGCTGCTCTGGGGACCGGTGAGATACTCTAAAACGCTTTGACACCTGCTGCGAGATGGGGGGCTGGGGGGTGACTGGTGGGCTTTGTCTGAGCCCAGCCCTCCCGTTGTCACCCGTGAACATGGGCTCTGCAGCCCTGTGGGCTTTGAAAGGACAGCCTTCCCTTCCCTTCTCTCATGAGGACATGTTAGAGCCTATAACTGACAACATGCATGCAGCCATTTGTTTCACTGTATTTATGAGATGCTATTTTGAGGGGAGATTGGCCTCATGTGTGAGGGGTTTTTTTGTTTTTGTTTTTTTGTTTTTTTTTTTTTTACAGTTTCTCATGCTTAATTATCAGGCTTGCTCCATTGCTATCAAAAATAGGCCAGACCACCCAGAATGTGTTTCCTCTGTGTGACCAGACACATGCTGTGAGCAAGTCAGGCCTTAATCTGGTCCTTGGTGAGTTGGTCACAGGAGACTGGCCAGGGCTGGCTTTCTCTGGAGGCACCATCAGACCAGGGCCTGCTCCTTGGGTTATCCAGAGCAGCCACATGGGCCCTGTTGGGAGCTACTTCCAGGTCCCCTGGCCTTGGGCCTGTGGGTACTAGGAGCAGGGCCCTGATGCATCTGAAGTGGCTCCTGTCCACCCTTGACCTGGTGGGGGGTGCTCTCATTGCCCCTCTGGCACCCCCAGTTCTGATCTTGAGGCAGACCTGTCTCTAATGCCATTGGACCCACAGGGGCAAAGGTCATTGAGGGAGGGAAGGCTGAAAAGGGTCAGTGCCCTGTGAGCTCAGGAATTCTGGCAGAGAGACAAAAGAAAGGGGGATCCCTACCCTGCACCTGTCCTTCTCTCCCCGCCCACTTCCCATTTTGCTGTCCCATCCCCAGTCCTTCAGCTCCAGGGGGGCTGTGGGCCTTCTAGGTTAACAGCAGCTCAACTCAGGGCTGAGAAGGGCCAGGCCACACCAGGGATGAAGGGACACAGGACACTCCCAGGGCACCAGCCCAGGACCATGGAAATGCCACCAAAAAGCTTGTCTCAAATAGCCTTGTGTTTGCTTTGTAAAAAATTCATTTAACAGCTGCCTTCTGTTTTGTTTTGGTTGTTTTCAGATTTTATCTTTTCCCTTGATTTTTAGTTTCCCTATCTCATTCCTCCACGGCCTCCTGTGCTTGTCGGCACCGGCTCTCGCCACCTGGGCAGCTAGATCCCCAGAAAATGGACCACCGGTTAAAGCCAGAGGCCTTACAGACGGTCTTCAAAGAGCAGCCACACTCATTAATGGACGGCAAGGCCCATGCAGACACCAGGGTTTTGGTGGCTAAATTTTTGGAACACTCGAACTGTGCCCTCCCTCCCGAGGTACGGCATGTGGTGGGCACCTTTCACCCGGCTGTCACGTCCGATGAGCACCACGTGGACGAGGCCATCTTCAGTGCCAATGTTCTGGACCAGGTGTGAACCAGTCACAGGTCTTGACATGGACACAGACAGGCCTGGGCCAGAGTGTCCTTGCTGGAGTCCACTGTGCGTGCAGGGAGGGGCTGAAGCCCAGGAGTATCTCTGGGTGGCTCAGATGGGGAACTGCTGTCCCTCTCTTGCAGAGGATCCAGTCCATTGTTTTCTTGGGGATGACACTTCCTACCTATTCCAGTGATGCAGAAAAATGACTCTCGTGGCCATTGTGAACTCTTTGGGTTTTTATCAGGCATGTAGCACCTGGAACTGGAGACACTAAGCATCTTCAAAATCATGGCCATCAAAAAGCAAAATTCTCCCTCACTTCTGATTTAGTTGAGTGTTTAGTGGATAGAGGAGGACAAGTAATGAGACCATTTTCTTCTATGGTTTGTATCACTCGCTAGTCAACCCTTTATCATGTGCTGACTGGAAAGAAAATGGGTAATTCTAGGACGGATGGCAGCCCAGGCCCAGCTCTCTGCCCGCAGGAAGCAGGGCTGTTGTGGGAACAAATCATTATAGGGGGCCTCGGGCCACCTCCAGGCAGCAAGACGGTATGACAGGAAGATTTCCTGGACGCGTTCCCCCCCACCCCCCGCCACCTCTGCCCCACTGTCACCTAGTCTCCTGGGCCTCCCCTCTCTACCCTTCCTCCATGGGGTGCCCTCCCCACTTCCCTCTCTGGCTCTCTGTCCATGGTCTCCTATTCTGTAGATACTTTTGGGGACCCCCTTTGGGGGTTTTCCCTGTGTCTGCCCTCCCCAGGATGGCCTGGATGGGTGAAGGTCTGGGGAAAGAGGCCTGTGTCCCAGGATCTGTGCACCTCTTGAGAAAGCAAGTCTCTGATGACCCAGAGCAGTCCCTTCCCAGCCAGGCAGTGGCCACATCTGCATTGGAGCTTGCAGGTTGTAAGTCATGTCTTTCTATAAAACACTGAGCTGGGGACGTGGGGCAGGCAGGCCCAGCCTCTCTGCAATGGCAGCTTGGGCATCTCTGACTTTCTTGGTCCCCCTGCCCCTCATGTTCTGGCAACATTACCAGCTGCCACTTCTCAAAAATGACCCTGGAGCAGCACTGTCTTCAAGAACTTTCTGCGGCAGTGGGAATGCCTGTATCTGTGCCATCTACAACAGTGGCCACTAGCACCTGAGCTGTGGCGGCATTGAACAAGGCAGCCCAGAGCTGACATGTCTGAACCAAGAGCCCAAGGGCCTGGCATGTGGAGCACGGGGGGAGGACCTGACAACTGCCACTGCTGCTTGGTGTTCAGCAGTCTGGGGTCTGCGTGCTGTCCTCTGCCTTGCACCCCACTGTAGCCAATGTGCGGAGGGCACGTCCTTGTGATTGGAAGCTGGGGAGGGAGGGGCAGGGAGGGTCTGCAGCCCAGACGCCTGGAGCCCCCAGGAACTGAGGTGTAGGAAGCCTGCAGGGACAGCTTCGAACACTCTGCTTTAGTGATGGTCTTGGCCATTGCCTCCCTCACCTCTGGGTGAGGCGAGAGAGCTGAAAAAATACCCATCAAGGCCTTTTGATGCCAACCGGAACATTTCCATCGGAAAACCCCAGAGATGAATTATGAGCACTTTATCCAGACTATAAAATGGGAAATCCCTTCTCTAATTTTTCTCAGCTGAGGGCTCTTGAAGTCCCTCAAAGCAAATCCCTTCACAGGTACAGTTAATTGATGGTTTTTCCAAATAGTCTCCCCTGAGCCTGCCAGCAAAGTGTCCATGGCTGTTGATGCCCTGGCCTCTGAATTCAGGGCATTTTCAGTGTCTCTGGGGTGGGGAGCCAGAGCCTAGCAAGCTGCAGGGGTTTCCACCTGCATGTGGGGGGCCCACACTTGAGCCTGGGGGCCTGCACACAGCAGTGTCCCTGGGCTGAGTCCTAAGCCTGCAGTCTGAGGCCAGCCCCTTTCCTTCCCACTCCCACCTCTGGGCTGGAGCTGGGGCATCAGTATTATGCAGCCATTGTGAGTGGCCACTGGGAGCCTGCCCTGCTGTTCTGTGGCTTTTGCTTCTCCTCCCTGCGGCGGGACACTGTTTTCTCCACCATCTGGGTCTCTTGCTGCAGCCTCTGTCTCCATGTGGGTACAAGTGGGCACTCTGGCCCGAAGTCCAGAGGCCTGGACATTCTCAAGGGCTCTGCCCTTCTCTCATCCTTTCATGCTCAGTTTTGCATTTGCTCTCATAGTAACTCTATCTTGCGATTGAGGAAACTGTACCCAATTTTATACCACTCAGCTAGAACCTTCTGCCCATTCGTTCAGGGCCCCAGCTGGCCCACATGGGCTCTGGCGGGGCCCTGGGTCCTGGCTTCCAGCAAAGGTCCCGGGAAGAGAGGAGTACCAGTTAGAGCCACCAGGAATGAGCCAGGGACCCTACTCGCCAGTTCCAGTACCCAAGACCCTGCTCTGCTCAGCGGCATGTGAGAGCCAAGAGCCCCAGCAGCAAGCGCCCCAAGCCCAGACCACATGGGTGCATGGCCAGGGGGAAAGCTGTTTTCCTTCCCTCGCTGGTGCACCCTCTCCTACCCCTCTTGTTAAAGCATCAGCAGGCCAGGGAGGAGCTTGACGGGCTGTGCCAGAAAGCTAAGGCATGGGACCCCCACCTGCAAAGGCCTGGGTCCTGGGCACTCTCCCTGCCTTTTCCCCACCACCCAAAGGAGGTCAGCTTGGCGTGGGGCCACAGCCTGTCCAGACACTGCCATTTGCCTGGGGGCCAAAAGAACACCGAGGTGGGGGAAGCTCTGGACCCCATCTCTGTGGCAAACAAGCAGGGACTCATCCTTCACAAGGACTTAGTCTCCTTCAGCTGGTGACAATGCAAATTAAATGCTTGTAACAAACCGTGTAACAGAAAGCTTATTTCAGATGGATGTGTTTCCCCTCCCCCCCTCAGCTGTATTGATTCACAGATGCTGCTATTAGGCAGAATTTATAGGAAATTGTTTTCAAGCCACAGGAGACCTGTTTGTACAACTTGAAGGTTGTATTTATTTAATGTACCTCAAGGTGTTTTCATAATGATCAGTGTTTTAATAAAAACTATTTCTGGCCTCTGTGTCTCTGGATCTAATTGGGACAGAGGCAGCCCATGTGTGCCTCTGAAGGATCTTGAGGAGGCAGCAGGGAGCGTGAGGCATCCGTGGCCGCCCGTGTCTCCCAATATCCTTCCAGAGAAGGGCAGGGGTGAGGGGGCAGAGGGCAGGTGACTGCACACATGTAGGTACCGCCAGTGCTGGCCCAGAGCTGCCCCTCCGTCTGTGCATGTGACATCCGAGGGTTCCAGGAGGAATGCATGCCACTGGCTCAGAGATCTCTTTCAATCTGAACTTTTTATGTGTATCATTTGGTGGGACCCCCACCCCCCGTGTCATCTGCCCACAGATTTCCTCTCCAGAGTCTGTTCCCCTGCCTTGTCTTGGACAACACAACCACATACCCCTGGCTCTCCTGAGCTGACGCCCTTTGCCTCCAGCTCCAAGGGCATGGGCCATTTCTGGCTAGATGTGAAGAGCCTCATCAGTAGCTCACAGCATGGAGAGCAGATCGCTTGTCAGCAGAGAGAGGTGGGTCCTACCAGGCCAGGTTCCCCAGATCAACAGGGGAACACCCATCACCAGGCCTTCTGACCAAAGCCTATGTTGACCCCTGCCTCCCCATGCCAGGGGACAGGCCACAAAAGACCCTAGAGGTAAGCAGACACCACTGGGATGTGTGGTCCATACACACATGGACTCACAACTCACCTCTTCTGGAGATCACTGAAATTTAAACCAAGAGAAGCAAAAGGTTTCTCTCCCTTATTAAATTAGCAGCCTGTGTCCTCCCTGGGATGGGATGGGCCGGCAGACCTGGTGACCTGTCTCCGTCACTGACCCTGCAGTCACTGCACGGCCAGCCCGGACTGACACCTGGTGCCTGGAGCATCCACCTCTCCAACCTCACTGGAAAGGGCCCCCGGAGGCCCCGGCCTGGAAGGGGATGCCGTCAGCACATGGCACCGTTGTAGAGCCGTGCTGTGAGGTGTTGAGGTTGAGGGAAGCTGGGCATCCATTTCTCAGTTGACAAACCAGCCACGCACACAGCTTTTTTATTATGACTTCAGTTTATTAGTGATATTAGCGAGTCTTCCTAAGGTCGGCTGCATGCAACACACAGGTCACTCCTTGAATACAGTAATCCTAAAGCTTTAGTTACTGCATGGTAAGGCTTCTTAAGTCACAGTGTATTCTTCAAGGCCTGGGCCAAAAAAAGAGACTTCCAGACAAAATGACGTCGGTTAACATTGACCTCGAAGGAACTGAACTAGACTACGTTTCACCGTATTTACACACGCTGTAATACTTCTCGCGGTGACGCCTGGCTCGCCCAGTGATCTGCGCTCACCACTGGCTGCCCCTGAAATGGCAGAGATTCCCAGGGTGGTTTTGGTTTTGGGGGGTGGGGGAGGGAGCTCGTGTGTGAATGCGTGTGTGTAGACAGAGATTTTTAAATAGAGGGCAGAAGCTGTGCCCCCCGTCCCTGGGAGAAGGAGCCAGTGTGTCCTGGCAGGTGGGGTCTGGGGGGGAAGGGGTGGCCTCGAGGGGAGGACAGGAGCGGCAGGCGTGGCGACCGGTCATCTGAAAACCCTGGAGTCTGAAGAATGGCTTGTCAAAGTCAAAACCGTGAGATTATCTAAATAAATATGGAGTTTCTGTGTTGTAGCCATCATCTTTTATTTAACTCAGGAACGTCTCCCTCCTCTTTAAATACAATCACATGTTCCCAGACGTCACAAGTCACACCCCGAGAGCCGGCCGCAGCGGCAGAATCGGCCCATTCGGGGCTGTTCGGGACTGTCAGGGTGCCCTCCCCCGAGGCACCCCGGGCCCCCAGACGGGGGGGGGGGGCAGAAGGGACGGTCACTGGCCCCCCAGAGCTTGCTGTCCTCGCGGGGCCCCTCCAGGGCCGTGTCCGCAAGCGCCCACGTCCGCTCTCCACGGCTTCAGGGAGGAAAGACACACTCCACACCACACAGAGCTACAGACAAACACCCTTGTCCGTCGCAGTGAGGAAACGGGTCAGAATGCGGCAAAACACTTGACTGTTCTACACAGATTGGTTCCTGTGACTCTCCTTGGATGAAAAGATACCCCTTTTTGTCCAAAAAAAAAAAAAAAAGTGGGTCGTGAGGGCACACCCTTCAGAGAAGCCAGTGTCCTTGGGTGGGCTGTGGGGTCAGGGGTCAAGTCCTGGGTCCAGCCTTCCAGCTCCTCTGAACCCAGGTGGGCTGGGCGGTGCAGGCTGGGTGGGCCTAGATGTACAACGGGGTCTCCTGGCCCGTGAGGAGCCTGAACATGGCCGCAGGCATGGTCTTCATGTGGATCTGTCAATGAGAGACAGGGGCTGAACAGACTCTCGCTGCTCCCGGCTCTCTCCTCCCCTTGAAGGCCTCTCTCCTCCCCCTGATGCAATCAAGTGAGAGCAAACACTCCAGGAACTGGCTGGCTGCAGAAACCCCCTGAGGGTTTTCTGTGCAAAGTACCAGCTTTCAGAGTGCAGGCAAAATGACGTCATCAATGAAGGTTTAGAAAGCATTTCCTGACACTGTATACTCTTACTGGACCTCCCCATCCGGGTCTTCAGAGGGTTTCACACAAGCTCAAGTGCTAGTTTTTTCTGCAGCTCAAGCTGACAGCAGAGGGGCAAAAAATCAGATTTTTAATTGTGACTATGATTTGCCCACTCAGCTGGAGGCAGGCTGGGGGGTTCCCAGGCCTCTGAAGCCCTTCCCACGCAGCCAGGGAAAAGTGAGGGTTCAGGGGTCTGAGAATATATGGAGGAGGGCCAAGGACCTCGGGCCCCTCCATCCTTTGGGGTTCAGTTAGCAAATGAGCCTTTGGGGGCCTGGCCTCCCTCCCTGGATCCAAGGGGACCTGGGGGGCACAAGCAAGGCACAAGATGGCCTCCCAGGGAGACTGCCCTTGTGGGGCACATTCCCCCAAATCCTGTGAGGGCACTGGGAAGAAGAATGAGACCAGTGGATGCACAGAAAAGGTGGTTTCTGCTCCAGCAGGGCCAGCCCAGGGCTGTGCCAGGCTCAGGCCTTGGGGCTCTGGGAGGTGTGGCTGGCACAGGTGCCACTGGCTTCACTCTCCTGGGTGCCCAGCAAGAAGTGACCTAGGGCAGGGGGGCATGGCGCATGGTGTGGCCTTCCCGGGGGCCGCCCTTCCTCAAGCAACCAGGTCTCAGGCCCTTGGGTGACCAACCCAGAGAAGCCAGTTGTGCAGATGGCTTTTACAGTGTTACCTGCCCCCTGCCTGTCCCTGCCCCCAGGATATGTTTGATCAATTTAGATTTTAGTGCATCCACCACGCCCAGCATGGCTTTTTCCACCAGAAGAATATTCTGTGTAATTCCTCAATCTGAAACCCACCCCAAACCTCAAGTCTTGTTATCGAGGAACTAATTTTCCAAATGTGCTCAGGGATGGTGGAAAACACAGGCAGATACTTCAGTCTCCTAGCCACACCCTTGGCCACTTTTGTGCCTCTTTGAATATCAATTCATCTCAGGTCTGAAGAGCTGAAAACATTTCTCCTTCACTCCACTGGCTTCTTCATAGGTGTTGAGGCTGATCGCCCCAGCGGGGTGGCCATTTCAAACATCAGATTTTCCTTCCTGGGAAGCCCTTTGTAAAAAAGGACACTAATGGTGCCAACCTGGCCCCCTCTCCCTTTTGAGAGCCAGCTATCAGCCACCATCAATCTATGGGAAAATAGGATTCCTCCCCCAGCCTGGTAGTTTCACAAAAAACCGAGCAGACCTCAGGAATTGTGGTCAGAAACCCCCTCAGAAACAGCATCCACCCAGGGACTAAGCTTTACCCCCAGTGGCTACCAAAATGGAAGCCGCACTCTTCCCCACATGGCCACAGAGCCTGAGAGGCCCAACAGCCCTCAGAATTAAATGCAAACTCCCACCCAGCACGGGCCCCTTTGCAACAGACCCCTCTTCCGACCCACCAGACACACTCGTGCTGGGTGAGGCCTCCTTCCATTTCACATACTCTGAGCACCTTACTTCTCACCCCAAATTACCCTGTTCACCTGTGAACTCCTTGAGGAAAACTGTGCCCCTCTCCTCCTACCCCCGTCTACCTCAGGCTGGCATTGCTCTGATGCCAGAAAGAAGTAGAAGAGGAGGAAGGTTAAAGCCAGAGAAGCAGGAAAGGGTGCATCAGCCACGGCTGGCCTGCTCTGTGGATGGGAAGACGGCAGGAAGCAGGCGGAGCAGTGACCCCACTTCCGGGGTGGCCAGAACCTCGTGCCCTGGAAGGGCAGGGGTCCTGCAGAAGGAAGAGCTCCCAGACTGAGCATGCACATCCAGTTCTAGAAAAGGCATCAGCCACCTTTGCCCTCCTGTTGGCTGCACAAACAGAGTGAACAGCCAAATGCAGCCGTTCAGCCTCGTCACAGGTACTCCCTGGGTGAGAGGCCCAGCCCAGCAGCTCAGTGGGTGCCCAGGGCTCCCTAGAGAGGGGGTGGGTCACACAGGTCAAGGTGGAAGCACATGACTAGCACAGACACGCTCCAAGATTCCAGCAAGGATGGCTCTCCTAAGAAGGCAGGTATTCCTGAGGGGCGGGGGGAACCAGTGGCTTTCCTGAGCACCTCACATACCCCACTTGGGGCACAGATGTCAGTCATGGAAATGTAGGGCCCAGATGGCCTTGGACTCAGGTTCTGCCTCCAGCAAAGTGACAGGCATGGCCTTACCTCTCCAACTGAGTTAGAAAGAGCCTGGACTATCTTCTCATGGGCTGTGGCCACCACACTCTGCCCGTTGATCTCAATGATGCGGTGGCCGACTCGGACGCCTCCTCGCTCTGCGATGCCCCCTCTCATGAGGCTGCAGATCTAAGCAGACACGCATCAGGTCAGCATGCAAGTCCTCACCATGCCCACAAGGAGCTCACTGCTGTCCCCAAACACGGAAGCAGGGAAATTAATCACGCAGAAAAAGAAACCCACAGGACAACTGCTTATGTATGCAATCTGCTGACTCACCAACGGGCACATTTATGATTTGGAATAGGCTAAAAACAATAAAGTCAACAGCTTGGCCTGTGGGAGACCCTTGCAGGCCCTCAGATTCCCTACAGTGGCTCTGCCCCCTCAGCCATCCCAGAGCCTCTATTCCTGGGTCAGGGGAGTGTAGAGTACTGGTAGTGTGTGCAGTTGAAGCACATCCTACAAGATTCTCCACCAGCCACACTCTGCTCCTCTCTGAACTGAAGAAATCACTGTTCCCACCTCAAGAGGAGGTGATGAATTCACGAGCCAACAAACAGAGCTGGGGGAAATGATGAGGGCCCTAAGTTTTGTGAAATCCACCCACTTGGGGATTCCCTAAAGATGGTGGCATCAGAAAGGCGGATGCCCGCCCAGACAATGCAGAGAGGGCAGCAGGTCCCAGATGGGAGCTGCTGGCTCAGGGAGAGGACACGCTCTCATCAGAGAGCTGCACCCTGATGGCTTCACAGGAGCAGTGCCCAAGTCCTAGAGATGCGGAGGCAGGTGAGGGCAGAGAGGACTCCAGGTGCCTCTCCACCACACTTTCCAAGGACCCAACGCAGGGGTCCAACAGCAGGGACCCTGGAGCTGAGGCTTTCTGAGAGTCTGCTGGCCACTGGAGGTCTCTCCTGCCTAACCCACCCTGGCACCTGACCACAGGCACTGCGGCTGGCACTGCCTAGACCCCGGCTGCCCCTTCCTCAGCATTATCTCAGAAGCCCTGGAAGGCTGCACCCCACCACCCGTGCTGGAGACTGAGCCAGGCAGCAGAGGCCTAGGCTGCCAGAACCCTGTCCCCAGAGTGCCCAGGGGCCACCCACGTCATCTAAAGGCCTCACAGAATTCACGGTGGCCCTTTATCCTCATGGTCTGCTTTCCTTAATCAGGAAACACTACCAAAACAGCTTTCATCTCATTGAGGATTTTGTGACATTTTGGGGCATCTTTAGACTTGAAAAGGCAGGGAACCCCAACCCAGAGTCAGGAAGGGTCATTCTGGTCAGCACCCTAAGAGGTCAAGGGCCAACCTGCCAGCAGGAGGCATAACCACAGGTGGTGGAAGATGCAGGGGGACAGCCAAGCCCTTCTTCCTGACTCACTGTTCTTTTCATTCCATAGCAAGGCTCTACATGACCCAAGACTCTCCTCCATGCCTTGTGGTACACACCCCCTGCCCTCATCCCAAGGACCCCTGCCTTTGTTAGGCCAACTCCTCATCCAATCCCTTGCCAGACCTGCTCATTCAGCTGGGCCCTCTGATTTCCAAGGTTGCTGGGGGGATGACCATCCCCTTAAACAGGACAGCTCTCCCCCACTTGCCTGCCTCCCCTTCCCTCCCTTAGGACCTGGCATGGCAACTTTTTAAGGCCACCATAGGCTTACAAGGCCACTGACCACAGGCTGGCCCTGGCACCACATGCAAGATTCCCATCTGTCATTTGTTTTGTGGATCATGTCTTGTCACTAATGCCACAGGCCTTTCTAAACCAACTTAAAAAGCGGGTCCCTCCCAACCTTCAGGGTCCCTGTCTTTCTGGTAGAGGACATATATACAGACTGATGTCACAGTCCCAGGCCACCACTGCCCAGGCAACTGGACTCCTGCCCAGAGCTGGTCACAGTACTGGAACCTGAGCACTCGGTACAGTCCAGGCTCAACCGGGGGGTAGGCAGAAGGAGAGAAGCAGGGTGAGCCGTGGCCACCCATTTTCCAGAAACGGGGAGCTCCCTGCCTGCCTGACTGCCCAAATTTTCCATACAAGAATTAAGGAGTAACTTCTATTCTTTTCTTCCCCCCTCCCAAATGATTTAAGGGCATTTTGTCCCCACTGTAACTGTTTCTCTGAAGATCCTGAAGAAGGTGCTTCGGGGTGACCTGGTTCACTTCCCAGCCTTACCAAGAAGCACCCAGTTTGTTCCCGGCCACAGCAGAGAAGGAGACACACCAGAGAAGGTGCAATCTTCAATCCCTGGTGGCAGCTTCCTCCATAGTCACGGAGATTCAGGACAGAAGGTGAAGAGGGAGGAGAAAACAGCTCTGTACCCTCAGAGGGAGTTGCCGGGAGGATGGATCCCCACCCTGGCAGGTGACCCCGGCTGGAATCTGGGGGTCAGGCAGATGGAGAGGACAGAAGGGAGCAGGAAGTGTTGAGGAGAAGGCCATGTGCACACACAAGCACACACATGCACACACACACACTGGTCCCAGCCTTCCCAAACGAGGTGCCCACAGGAACCAGGGTGTGGGGCATTCCAACTTCACGGGGTGCACTTCTGTGGGGGAGAAGGCTGGTGTCTCCCAGCGGGAGACATCTTGATTTCTTGAATGGTGGTGTGGAAAGAGAGAGGAAGGATCCGTTTAGAAACAGTGCTAAGTGGGTCATCCGTGGCCTGTCTGCAAACTAATGCACTGTACTCTGGGTGTAATGAAGCTGAAAATGGAAAAAGCACTTGTGCAAGACTAACTCAGATGTCAGCAAACTTTTCCAGAGGATTCAGGGGAACTTGGCTGCATGGCACACCACTGTCAGCGGGCACAATGGTCCCTGCAGTCCTAGTCAGAGGAGAGACTGGCTGGCCCACCACCGAAGCCCTAATCAAGGCTTCAGGAGCACTTACATTGGTTACTAATGCCCTGGGCCCTAGATACAAACTTATTGGCCCCTGCACTGCTCGTAAATGGTGTCAAATCCAAGCACACGCTCCCCCTGACACCCTCCCACTGCATACAAGTGTCTGAAGGTGGGCAGTGGGAGTGTGGGTCTGCTCTTCCCAACAGCTGGCCTCAGGCCCAATCCCTGCTCTGCTCCAGCTGGGAGTGTGGAGGGCAAGTTACTTCACCTCCCTGTCCCTTAGTCCTCTGTGAAATGGTGACAGAAAATGCCATTCCCTAACCGGACCAGCCTTGCAGACACCAGCTCCACAGGGATGCCCTGTGGTTGTGGCTCCATTTCCTGGTTCCTAGAACTGACAGACAGATGGACTGACACCCCAGACAGATGGATCAGGGGGCCTCCGAGTACTGGCAACAATGAAACTAGATAGACTGGAAAAATGGAAGTCCTGCAGTCCCATGTTTAGAGCAGCATGAGTCACTACAGTCAAAAGGTGGAGGCAACCCAAACCCATCAATGTCCATTGATGGATGAGTGGAAGACCACATGGGGTCTATTCCTACAATGGAGTATCATTCAGTCCTAAAAAGGAATGAAATTCTGACACATGCTACGAGGTAGATGAACCCTGAGGACATTATGCTGGGGGTCAAATAGGCCAGTTGCAAAAGGGCAAGTGCTGTCTGATCCCACTTATTTCCATAAAGCACCTGGAGTATTCAAGTTCACAGAAGCAGAAGATAAAATGGTGGCTGCCAGAAGCCAGGGGCGGGGGGCGGGGGGGGCGCAGGAATGAGAAGTCAGTGTTTGGTGGGTGCAGAGTTCCACTTTTGCATGATGAAGAGCTCTTGAGATTGGCTGCCCAACAGTGTGAATGTACTGAGCACTTGAAAATGGGTAAGATTATAATCGAGGAGCTCCTGGGGGGCTCAGTTGCTTAAGCGTCCAACTCTTGATTTCAGCTCACGTCATGATCCTATGGTTCATGGGATCGAACCCCTCTAGGCTCTGTGCTAACAGGGCAGAGTGTGCTTGGGATTCTCTCCCTCCCTCTCTCTTTCTCTCTCAAAATAAATAAACAGTGTTTTAAAAGATGATAATCAATTTTATCACAATTAAAACAAAAAACAGATGTCCTAGGAGACAGCTGGGGCTAAAGAAAAGGGGGTGAGAGAGGCCGATTCTACGACATAATGTAGCTTCTTAGCCACATGGGCCTCTCATTCTGGAGGAAAGACAGGGTCACTAAGCTCCAGAAGGAGGCCAGAGCCCAGGCTAGCACGCCCCCAAACACACGTGTGCACACACGTACAAGCACACACATATGCACATACACATATGTGCACATGCACACTGACAGCTGTGCAGAGGACCCCTCCTTCTCACCTCTCATGGGACAGCACCGAGATTTACCGAGACGCCCCAGTGCTGGGACGTCCTTCAGCTAACTGCTTACCCTGCACATTAACCACTGCCACCTGGTGCAGGAAGTGCTTCTGTAGTGATCAAGGCAGGAAACCACAATGGGTCTGCGCAGGAGCTGACTGATGCCGGTCCCAAGCCAGGCATCCTGCCACCATCCACCCAGCTGTGGTTAGGTGCTGTGGAGGCTGAGGGACTCCCTGGTCACTGCTGGCCTGCTTGGAGGACACCAGATGCCTTGTGGCTACCCCAGGCCAGCTGGAGCCAGGTCTCCTGGTGGGGCTTGGTGAGGGGAGAAGGGCACATCTGAGAGCCTCACTGGCCCTGGGGACAGGAGGCTGGTGGTCATGAGAGAGGCACCACCCAGGGGAGAGCTCCAGTACTGCAAGGCAGCAGGACACTACATGGAGGGAAAAGTTACCAGGCCAGGCCCCTGTGGGGAGGCTGGGTGAAGCCACTCCAACCTGAGCATGCTGTGAGGGGTAAAGGATAGCTCTCCTGTCCTCAGAGGAGGCCGAGGGTGCGGGAACTCTAAATCCAGAGCTTTGGCCTAAGGAACACGCAATGTTTGGGCAGACCAACACTCACTCAAGCCCAGAATCACCTCCTCCTGGAAACCCTCCTGCTTCCTCAGTGCCTGACATGGTGCAGACACCTCACCAATGGCTCTGGGTGGGTGAATGAACGAGCAAACGATTGAGTATCTGTTTGTTGAACACAGGGAGTCAGATGTTGCCATTGGCTGTATGTGTCCACACTGCAATGGGGAAAAAACTCCTGCCTCTCCTCCAAAGCAGGTGTTTGCTGAGAACAGCCATGACAGGGACAAGGATGCTTCACGTAGGGCTTGAGGACCCATTCCTAGGCCACACGTCAGCCCTCCCTCCCGGCTCAGGCCTGCCCTGGGAGCTGCTGAAAACTCCTGCCCTGTGTGGCCTGGCTGCTGGCCACTGTGCCCACCAGCCAGGGCCTGTCCCATCAGATGGGAGCGGTCCCAGGGACAGAGTGGGTAGAGAGCGGCCACCCCCCAGCCCCCTGAATCTGGGCCCACATGTGCACAACGAAGGTGGCCAAGGTGGAGAGGGCAGACTCACGATCCCGTTCTGCACGCTGAAGCCCAGCTGGTACTTGAGGTCAGGCCGCTTGATGAGGACCGTGGTGACTGGCGGACAGCTGACGATGTTGAGTTTCACCTGCGTCTGGTTCTTTAGACCCTGCAGAGTGGGGAAGGGGTCATGAGGCAGCCTTAGATGCCACCTACCAGCACACTCTCACAGGCCTAGACCGAGGAGGAGTCGGCTGGCAGGGGGGTGGCCCTGGATCCGATGGGTCAGTCACCTCTCGGCCTCTACGTCCCTCTGTGCTACCTGTACATGGGGCCACTGGCTTTCCCACGCATGTGGGCCCTCTGACCCATGTGAAGACAAGCTACTCCTGGAGCCGGAGGCCAGGCCCTGAGAACCACTGTACACAACCGAAGAGACACCCTCCGAGGACTGCGGGAGAGGGGCCCTCCCCACACTGCATGCAGAGGAGCACTTTCTGTCTGGAAGGACCATGGGGAAGCCTTCCTCCAGACAAAACTGCTGATGGGTCAGGAAGTGACAAGCTCAGTGAAAATCTGTAAGCCGGGGGATCTAGCATCCACACAGAGACTGGGCCAGCTGCAGCCAAGGGTGACCTCAGGCCCCAGAGAGGATGTACCCCAGGCCCCTATTGTGAGGTTAAATGTGGGGGTGAGGTGAGGATGGGGCGGGGGGCAGGCCTCAATGTGGCTGCAGTTTCAGCTTGTTCCTCTGGCCAGTCATGAGCCTTGGATGCTGCTCAGAGCTGCCTGGATATAGTGGGCACCCTGCTCCCTACACAGCCCCATCAGAGCCTGGGTGACCAGGTACCCCAGGAACTGCAGCCCTCGGAGAGAAGCTCCAGGCAGACAAAACCTCTGGTACTGCAGACTGAGGACTTTCCTGTGTCTACCATCTGTCTTCCTAGGTGGTCACTCATCAGGCACATGCTCTGCTGGGCTGGCTTTGAGAGCCGGCTCATGGGATGCTCGGACCTTGAGAATGCCCTTTATCTCCCAGGTTGACAAGGGAGGGCAGAGCGGTGTCCTCCAGCACCAAGACCATAGCAGATGAGGAGGGAACAAGCCACAGGGGCTGGGGGCAGACCACAAACAGAAGGCCACAGGATGGCCCCCAAGCAGGCAGAACCGTCTGGAGACCCTGGACAGAGCAAAGGCAATGCTGTGCCAGGCCTCCTGGTCTCTCTGTTCTTTCTGTCCTGGGGCTCTTGGAGACCTGGTTTAGGTGTGAAGACCCCCCCAGTCCCTGCAGGGGCCAGCAGCTCAGCATCTTCCAAAAGCCCAAGCTCACGGGTCAGACGGTAGGAGCAGCCTCCCGGCTCTCACACCCATGCAGGGTGACCATCCCTCTCAGTATGCCCCGGAAACGGGACTCTTGGAGTTAACCTGAGAAAGTCCCATGCAAACCAGGTCACCTTGCATCTGTGGGTCCTCGGCCCTTGCCGGGGGTCCGTGTCCCTCAGAACTGGCATAAGTGAAACCAAACATCCCCTTTTCACCCCCAAGGGCAGCCCAGGTCCTTCTCTGATTTCAGTGATATGGTGTAGTCTTGGGGTCAACATCACTGGGTGGGTCTGTCTGCACCTGTCTCCTCATGTGTCAAGGGGGGATTACAATGCAGTGAGAATAAAACAAGGCAGGGGCCCTGTGTGCGCACCTTGATGATGCCCTGGCAGGTGGCGAGGGGCAGCCCCACCAGACTGGTGCCGTTGATGGACATGATCTGGTCCCCGATGCTCAGCTTCCCTGAGCGGGCAGCTGGGCCGCCATTCATCATGTTCGCCAGGATCACTGTAGGCAGGATGGAGCCCCAGCCTGACTCCACCACCACCACGCCCAGGATCTCCCCCTTGTGCTTCTCCAGCTGCAGCTGCAAGGAAATCAGCAGTGAGAGGTGCCCGTGATGGGGGCCGGGGACCTGCCCGCCTACCCTCCAGCCTCACCCACCTCTGGCTCCCAAGCCCTCCTGGGGTGCCCCCAACAATCCTGGAAACCAGGAGCAGACTCCCTCCCGCCCATGCCCAGCATGGACTCCCCCAGGCCCAAGCATGGCTCCAGTATCCTGCCTCCATTCTCCTCACCTCCCACATACCCATGGAGGAGGCAAGAAGAATGTTCTCAGACTCCAGGCCTCATATCTGCCCCTGGCTCTTGCTCTTGTCTAGAAAAGTCCTACGTCCCATCCATCCCAAGAGTCACTTTCTCAGAAAGCTGCCCGTCATGCATTCCGCAAGAAGCCAGGATCATTCATTCATTCAATCATTCAATAAGCAGTCTGATTATTCATTCATTCACTCGTTCAACAAGCAGCCAGGGTCATTTATTCATTCAACAAACAATAAGGGTCATTCATCCACTCATTTGCAAGCAGTCAGGGTATGGGTCATCCCCAGGGTATTTGCTCTTGTGTCTTAGGATAACTTTCTAAGGCCCTCCCCCTGCCCCCCCCAACCCCTGCCCCCCAACAGCACACACAGGAACCTGCTGAGGCCTCCACTCCTGGCAGCTTTGAAACTCCCCTGGGCAGAGCACCCAAGTTCCCTGTTTTAAAGATGCTTCTCATATGCTTTTCAGAAACACCTCCTGGGTGCTGAGCTCCAGTAGATGATAATAGCAGCATTAAAAGGCACATTTTCAAGGTCATTAAGACTGATTGTAATCAGCTCCTTTGTTACAACAACACCTCATTTCACACACAAGCGCTCAGCTCTGAAGGCAGGAGCAAGCATTCTGGGCAACACTTCATTCTGCAGTGAGGACAGGGATTTGAGGAGCCCTTCTAGGGCTCCAGTCCTCTGGCAGTGAGCTGGTGTGGGGCAGTGCCGGCTGGCCCCAGCTCTTCAGGGACCCAACATGGGTGGCAGAGGCCAGTGCAGCGTGGTGCCCGGGGCCTGCCGAGGGTGCATGGGGCTCACCTCCTTGCGGTTCTCTGAGTTCGAGAAGTGGATGAGATCATCGTTGTACATCTCCTGGGTATTGATGATGTCGCTGTACTCTTTCTGGCTCAGGTCTTCTGGGTTGATGCCGTTAGCCCGCAGGAACTCCTGGTAGGCCACGCTAAAGGCCTGGCCGATGGACTGTGCGATCAGCTGGGCCTGTGGGCAGGGAGAAGCCCACTGGAGACACCAGCACAGGCTCCATGCTGCCTGGAGCAGAGTGGCCGCGGCAGGGCTGGGAGCAGAGTGCACACAGAAGCCTACAAAGGACCCCTGTCCGGGCTTAAAGGAACAAGTGGGGGGTGGCGCCCGAGCGGCCCCGTGGGTAAGGCATCCAACTCTCAGTTTCAGCTCAAGTCATAATCTTGCTCTTCTGGAGTTAGAGCCCCGCATTGAGCTGTGTTGACAGTGTGAAGCCTGCTTGGGACTCTCTCTCTCAGCCCCTCCCTTGCTTTTTCTCTCAGAATAAATAAATAAACAACAACAACAAAAAGAGGGGTGCCTCGTGGCTCAGTTGGTTTGGCTCAGGTCATGATCTCATGGTTCGAGGATTTAAGCCCTGCGCTGGGCTCTGTGCTGACAGGTCAGAGCCTGGAGCCTGCTTCAGATTCTGTGTCTCGCCCTCCCTCTCTGCCCTTCCCCGACTTGCACTCTGTCTCTCTTGCAAAACTAAACATTAAAAAGAATTTTTTTTAATTGTAGGCTCTCTTCTGGTGATAGCTGTCTTCCCACTAACGCCCCCTGGTCGGCTGACTATCTGCTGTCAGGGACCAATCTTGACTGCTCCCACCTGAGCTGTTTAAGTCCCAGACCATCCAGAACAAAGCACAATTTCAAAAAGTCTGAGAAAATTATGAATTGTTTGCTAAATATCATATTTTTGTTGCTTCCATTGGTGACTGTCCTATATTTTCTTTCCACCCCTCTTATTTCCAAAATAGACTAGAGGTGTGTTCTTCAGGGAGTGTCACAGAGACTGTCAGTTGTCTCCCCAACATTTATGTCTCCTCAACAACTGAACCCAATGGCAACTGGGGAGGCAGGTGTGTGTTCAGCTGTTCTGGTGGGGGGTGTGGCTGTTCCAGGCTGAGGTCGATATGAAGCACCAGACCTAGGGACACCAGCACAGACCCCACAGAGAAAATCACTTCTTTCCACTTCAGGGAACCACTTGTGTGGACATTACTGAATCTCTGACACTGCAGAGCCCTGGACATTGAAAAGTCATTGTCAGGCATTCCCTGTCACCAGCCAGTGTGCAGATGGGGGACAGGTGGGTGGCAAGAGCTAAACCCCGAGCTCCCAGAAGGATGCCAAGCACACTAACAGCTGTGTGGCCCTGGAGAGCAACAGGGCTCCCAGCAGCTTGGCTCACCACAGGGCCTCCTCCCCCAGCCCTGGAGTGAGGGGACCCCAGTGCTGGTCTACCCCCTGCCACCACCTGCCTCCCCAACAGCCATCAAGGGGGCCTTCTGCATGGGTGCCCTCAGCAAACCTCAGGACTGGGAAACAAAGGATTTGACCTAAATGCCTAAATCCCTTCCTCCTTCTACACACTGTATGATTTAAGTGCCACAAATGACTATGTCTCTGTAACGAAGTGGGCTGGGCTAGGTAATAATGGCAGAGCGTGGAAGGCTTTCCTGAAATAGGTGCAGATTCTAGATTGAACTGCCCTCCTACACTGGGCCCTCAACAGTTTACAGGAAGGACAAGCCAATGTTCACTGGAGTAAGCCCTGCCCACTCCCAAGATCAGTATTTTGGTATTTTGGCAGTGCTGTTTGGGTGGACCAGGCAGAGATGCTGTGTCCTGGGGACCACTAAGTGACACCCCAGCCTGGACATGCGTGGATCGGAGGGTAGGGAGCCCAAGAGAGGCACATCCGAGAACAGCAGAGCAGCAGCCAAGGCCAGAGGGTAGAAGGTGAGGGTAGGGGGGACAGGGAGCCTGGGAACTGTCCTGCCCCCCCTGGGGTCTCAGAACTTGCTGCTGGTTGCCCCGAGGCCTCCAGGTCTGTCCCCAGCTGACTGAGGTCCTGACAGGGTGGGAGTCTGAGAGCAACACTCCCTTCACAGCTGCACTTGTAGTCTGGCAGGGCTGCCCAGTGCCCTGGGATCCACCTAGGGTTCTGCCTGGGTGCCCCAGCCCAACCCATAGGAGCTCCTAGGGACAGTGGGTTCCCTGGGGTGCCATCCAGGAGCCCTTGGCATCTCCCCGCCAGCCGCTGGTGGCAGTCTCCTATTTCCCCATCCACCCTGTGTCCTGGTGTCTCTCCCAGCTGGACTGGGGGACATGCTTGGAGCCCTTCAGACAAGGGGTTCACCTGCCCCCCAGTTCACAGCCTGGGCCTGTGGGTGCTCAATGCTGTGAGACCAGGAGTCCCACCCAGGAAGGTGGGGAGTGCAGGGGGCCTCAGCCAGGGGCTGGCATTGGCAGGGTGGTGCCCAGAGGTGACCGACCTCCTGCAGGAGGTGAGGAAGGGAAAAGGGAGCTGCTATACCCCCAGCACTCCTTTGTGTGGCTCATCTACACTGGCCTCAGCCCAGGAGCAACTGTTTCTAGAGGGAAACTGAGGCTCAGAAAGAGCCCTGGTATCCTTACTGCCACTCCTGTTTTCTGCAGGTGTCCCACACCACTGTCACCAGACCCTCAGAGATCCCTTACTCATCCCCAGCAGCCCCCCTGGACGGAGCCACCACCCAGGTCATATGCTCTGGGCAGCTGCTCAGCGTCCCTGGACACACCCCAGGGGGTGGGTCCTTCCCCTCCCTCCTTCAAGGACTACTTGGGAATCCTATTCATGCCCACCTTTATTGGCCCTCAGCCTCCTCTCCTTGCACTGAAAACACTGGGCCACAGCAGCACCCCTCTACAGCAGTATCCCTTCTCTACCCCTTGGCCCACAGCCATCCACAGGGGCGGCCACTTCCCCTTTGTGCCCCCTGCTCCTCATGACTTCTGTGCCAGCAGACCATTCATCCTCCACTGCTGGCCTGTTCCTTGTCTTACCCTGCCTTTCACTCATAGCCCTTCCCAAGGGCCCATCTTTACCAACCCCCCCCCCCAAGTCTCTATGACATCCTCAAGCCCTGAGTCACACAGAAGTGCCCAGTTAGGTGTCCACGGATACCTGTATTGTGGCGAAAAGAATATGTGTGTGCACCAGTGGGTGTGTTTAAATTTCTTCTCCAATCAGTATGCCATTACTGCAAAGCACTTCTAGCTGTCTTCAACTTCTTAATAAAGATGGCTGCCTCCATCCCTACAGTCTCCAAATGTAAAAACTGGGGGGCCGTTCCCCTCTGCTTCAGGTTTCTGACCTGCAAGTCCATATGTGAACAAGAATGATCCTTGCCAAGTGTCCACGGAGAAGAGATTGCTTTTTAAAAATTCTACTTTGGGGGTGCCTGGGTGGTTCCATTGGTTAAGCGTCTGACTTCGGCTCAGATTATGATCTCGCAGTTCACAAGTTCAAGTCCCGCATCGGGCTCTGTGCTGACCGCTCAGAGCCTGGAACCTACTTCAGATTCTGTGTGTATGTCTCTCTCTGCCCCTCCCCCACTCAAGCCCCCCCCCCCGCCCCCCATCTCTCATAAATAAACATTAAAAAAAAGTTAAAAAAAAATAAAAATTCTACTTTGGCAACAGCCACAACAAGATCTTCCCGCCAGGGGGCAGCAGAGAGACCCGGGCCCATTCTCTCCTGTTCTCACCTCCTGGCCCTGGGCTCCCTTCTCCCATCCCTATTATCCAATTCCAGGCTCAGAAAGATTCTCTCATCCCATTGAAGGAAAGAGTGAAAGGGTTCATGGTCTCCTAGCGAGCCTGCAGTATTTAAGCTTCAGAATTATTTTTCAACTTATCATGATGTGAAGTGGTCACGAGTGAAAGCAGAGCTACTCCCCAGACGCGGATGCTGCCTTCCTTGTGTGCAAGCCCCACATGTGAAAATGTGCATCTTAACAACAGAAAAAAGTCAAGGAGTATTCTCTTTTAGGAGGATAAGGTTTTGTTAAAGGATATCTTCAGATAGCTAGCCACCAATCCCCCCGCCCCCAGCCTATTTAACTATGGTTCAATTTATAAACAGCCCTGAAGTGAAGTAGAACTGTGTTCACCATCTCTGCAAACTCTGAGTGTTAGAAAATACATCAATGACAGTGCATGGGATTTCTACCTGAGACTTGGCTTCCAAAAAGCCTGGGATGCCAGAGCCCTGGTGAAGTCTGGGCTGTTGGGAGAGGGGTGTGGCATGCCTGTGCGGTTACTTACATCCTCAGACTCGAACACGTGGCAAATCATCTTGTACTGCTTCTTCCCCTCCTGGGCCCCAGGGGTGGTCTCAATGCAGTCCTGAGAGGCCGACCGGGGCATGCGGCGCCTGGCCATCAGCACCACGATGTTCCCAATGTCTGCGATATAGGAGATGGTGCGCAAGGCATGGTCCATCATGGTTTCCTGTCAGGAGAGAGAGGAAGGGGTCCACGTTAGGAAACGTCAGGGAGAACAAGCCATTAAAAAACACTCAAATGAAACACCTGGGTGGCTCAGTCGGTTAAGTGTCCAACTTTGGCTCAGGTCATGATCTCGCAGTTTGTGAGTTTGAGCCCCGTGTCAGGCTCTGTGCTGACAACTTGGAGCCTGAAGCCTGCTTCGGATACTGTCCCTCTCTCTGCCCCTCCCTGACTCATGCTCTGTCTCTCTCTCTCACTCTCAAAAATGAATAAATGTTAATAATAATAATAATAACAATAAATAAAAATAAAAATAAAAATAAAAAACACTCAGGTTCAGAACTTCTCAAACTTGACACTGATGATGTTTGGGGTGGGTCATTCATTGTGAAGGGCTGTCCCATACACTGTAGGATGTTCAGCAGCATCCCTGGCCTCTACCCACTAGATGCCAGTAGCATCTCCCCCTTCCTAAGCTGTGACAACCAAAGATATTTCCAGCCTTTGCCAAGTATCCCCTGGTTGAGGATACACTGCTCCAGTGAACACAGAATTTCAGGGGAGTGATTCACAGTCAAGGTGAATCTGCCTTCACCTTCAGCCTACAGCACTCTTCCACGCTTCTTGGAGGCACGATGTTGGGGTGGAGCTCATGGTCCCTGCTGGAGGGAGAGCAGGGAGGCTGCCGGCAGTGAAGCCTGTCCCCACCTGATCACAGGTAGTCTGTGGCTCTGGAGAAGGGTTCCTTCCCTGGAAGACATGTGTTTCTACCTAGCAGATAAGGAAGGCTCCAAGGCCAACATTTTCCACAGATAAGTTCTTCCCAGAGAGCCCAGGCCCCGGTCAGGGGACACTGAGGCAGCTCCCCTGACTGATGGATGGGTCTCAGTAGCCATTCAATTCCCTGGGCTCCTGGAAGGTCCATTACTCTTGATGGCTTTTGTTGTCTGACAGGACTCTCCACTGAGCGTCTTGCTCGTGACCCCTGCCTAACAGGCTGCGCAAGAAGGCTCGGAGAAACTAATCAGTTGTTCTTTTATGCATTTGTGCTTTTTGCACAAAAGAAAACTGGGTGCTTCGACAGCCTCTGAAGCCCCTTTTCTTCCTCACGAATCCATTTTACAGCAGGTATTGCCCCACGTCTGTCTTCTGGGAGCTGAGCTGTTTTCTGGCCAAGGCTAGGTTTAAAACCACCAGGGCCACTTTTCAGAAAGGGGGACTGGAGAGGGGACAGTGGTGGTGGCTCCTCAGCATTTCCCGATTTCTGCCTGCATGTCCAGGGTAGAGCCATTGTCCTCCCAGACGGAGGGGCACCTAGGAACTCACAGCCTTCTAAAACACATGTATTGTCTAGCTCTGCTCGTTGCAAGGGCCCAGGAGCAACGACGCGCCCACAATGCTGAGCACGGCCAGCACGCAGGTCTTTGTTGCTGTATGTCATTCCCCACGCTAAAAAGAGCTATGTGTGGCTCCCTGAAGAAATGGCTGATTCCAGGTCTGGGGCAGGGCAAGTGTAAGGGGAGCTCAGAATACCTCACTGTCTCAGAAAGCAACGACATGAGCAAAGACTAGAGGGAAGATGTTAAAACCACACAGGACCCAGTTTAAAGGTCTCCGGCCGGCTGAATTTGGGATCACTGGAGCACCAAAAAGAATAAGGAAGTTAACAGAGGTAACACAAGTTAAAAAATAAACATCAGTCCACAGTGAAGAGAGAGAGAGAGAAAGAAACAAAAGGTCTTCTGCACAGATAGAGAGAGGTCTGATAATACAAGTGGAGAGCGTGACATGATTAGAAAATCACCATTTTGCACTTCCAATGTTCGAACCAACTCAAGCAAGATGATCACTGGATGCTAAAACCTTCAGGCGAAAAAGGGTGTGAGGGAACGGGGTACCCACACATCCAGTGACACCACACAGATTACTCGCTGATGACAAAGAAGCAAAGGGGTCATTACCCCGGCATCTGGCCGTCCTCAAAAAGGCCCAGTAATGGAGATCTGGCCCCAGAGTGAATGGGGCCTCCCTCTCAGCAAACCTCAAGCACACAGCATTGCCTGAGGCCTTCCCGACCCCTCCCTCCATCTACCCCTTGCCCTTGGCCTCCTTCCCTCTTTCTCCTTCTCAGCTCATAGGCGTTTATATCCTGCATGGCTCACTTCCTCCTCATGGATCTGTCTTTTCCACCAACAGCAGTGTAAAGCACAGGAAAAATGAGAAGACGCTGGCCACAACACATGGTTTACAGGTAGAAAATCTTAAGACAGCGCCCCCCCCGCCCCCGAACTCTGGCCCCCTGATGGAGGACCACCCATTCAGAGGGCAGAGGGCTGCCACAGGATTTCCACCCTCCAGCTCCATTCCCCGGACCCGGCATACGGAGGTTTCAGGAAGGCCATTCCAGAATCCTGACAGTGAGCACACACAGCTTCCGAATCCCGCTTCCCCTTCATTTCGTCTATTTAATTCAGCTGCAGCCAGCACACCTACATCCCCGGCGTCTGTATCTTCCCGGCCTGATGCTCCTCAGTCCCCTGCAGCTTACTCTAGAATTCACAACCCATTCAAGACCCAAGGTCCGGAGGAGCAATGGTCCTTGGGGACAGCCATTCATCTCATCCCAGAGGGAAAGTTCTCCTGCGATTAGAGGTGGGACGTTAGGGGTTTAATGACAGGATTTTAAACAATGGTCTTTAAAACCTTACCTGTGTGTCCGCATTTAACACCTTGATCCTCTGGGTGGAGATGAAGAGATCCACTTCGGTCAGAGTCTGGGCATCCCCCTCCGAATTCTAAGAAAGGACAGTGGATACTGTTACAAATTAAAAAAAAGAAAGAAAGAAAGAAAGAAAAAAGAAACAACTAACTTGAACAAAAGCCTGACAATTTTACTAATGACCCTGAGCGCCCCTAGAGGGAAATGCTGCCCCAGCTTGGAGCAGCCATGGGAAATCTAAATTGCACACCGCCTTCCAGCGCAATCTGTAGCGAAGTGAGTTCTAAAGGCAGTTTGCACAGGGCGTGAAGGAGGAGGGAGGAGACAGCTTCCGGAAGCTTGAGCATGGAGGGGGGCTGGACGCCTGGGGTCTTATGTCCCAGCATCCAAAGCGCAGCCCTTCCACTCCCTAAAAAGTAGGCCTGCCTGCCGACCCTTATCAAGCCCGGTGAAGGTACGGGGTCTCTGTACTCAGGCTACATGCGTTTCCTGGATTTGGGATTCCAAATATCCCCAGGAAATGGGGAAGAAATTTTCAAAGAAGTTGGATTAGATTGTCAGCATCTTCTTCTGATTTAAATAATCCTAGTCATGTCAATCGCCCCAGCAGGCTTAATGCCGGTCTTCCAAAAACCCTAAGGGAACTAAGACTCCAGCCAGACTCAGTGCTGCCCTCCCAGCAACATCAGAGAAACCAGAAGAATCTGTCACACAAATGCCCCTGCTTTGTCAGCTCCTGGAATACCTTCATCATATGGTCAATTCTTATGTGTACATGGAATGTTCTAGAAGCTGAGTGCACTATTTATTTAGGGTCTGCCCTCAACCAAGATAGCTTGTCATTGGGTTTTACATCCATGGGAATCCTAACTGCTGCTGCACAGTGGCAATGAAATACAAATTCTTCCGGTGTACCCACTGAGGTAAGTAATTCTTTGTGATCACTAGGAGCCCACAGTGGCATATCTTCCACTTCAAACGAGCAGAAAGTGTGTTTTAATTCTTCACTAAAAAATCTGAAATCAGAAATCCCCCTGCTGACGATTCCTCAAGAATTCAGAGTCACAGAGGGGCCCTGTATAATATTGATAAATTCGTATTTTAGCTCTGTTTTCAAGGGAAGCAGTCTTTGGGGCTTTCAGCCCACCACGAAATGACACTGCTTTTAACTGATTTTAAAGAGAACACAGTTCTGGGGCGCCTGGGTGGCTCAGTTGGTTGGGCGTCCGACTTGAGCTCAGGTCATGATCTCACAATATGTGGGTTCGAGCCCCACGTCGGGCTCTGTGCTGATAGCTCAGGGCCTGGGGCCTGCTTTGGATTCTGTGTCTCCCTCTCTCTCTCTGCCCCTCCCCTGCTCATGCTTGGTCTCTCTCTGTCTCAAAAATAAATAAAAACATTAAAAAAATAATTAAAAAAAAAAAAAACACAGTTCAAAATAATCCAGGTGAAAATACTTTGCAGGAATGTAGAAGAACTACTTTTTCTCTGATTTGAAAAACCGGGTTATATCCTACATCCACATGCTTCTAAACATTATAGTGTGGGGCTGTTCCTCAAAATCTTTTTGCTAAAAACAAAACAAAACAAAACAAAAAAACAAAACAAAACAAAAACAGGTTGGGCCAGGAGCAAAAAAAAAAAAAAAAAAGTTTGCAGGAAGTTTGAGCGCTATGATGTACTTGATCAGAGAACAGGGACACACACATAGAGCTGAATGAGCTCAGACGGGGTTGGGTGAATGGATTAAGCCAAAACCTGATCACTAATGGTGAACAGCAAAGCTTGCCCCATTGTACTCTCTGCTGGAAGAAAGGGGGAGTGCACCATGCATCCAACAGAGGACCAGCAATCAGGTAGGCATGTCTGTGGATGGGGGCACCATGACCCCACAGTCAGCAGCACGTCAGCTGTGTGGGGATGCTGCTTACTCCTGGTCCTGGGCTCCTATCAGCACTTGCCTGGCTAGATGTGAGCACACCAGAAAAGGAGCCCTCAGCCACGATCCTGAACATCCCCTTGCCCGAAGGGAAGAACAACTCTCCATGGATATAATCAGGTGAGCCAGCCGCAGAGGCTCTTCTGAGCTGGGTCTGCCTGCTCCCACCCATTCGGGCTCTCTGGACTACAGATCTGAGGACCAGGCACAACAGAGCCCTGTTCCAGCTGCCTGGTATTTGGGCACAGGGGTGTAGGGGTACACTGGGCAACTGCAGGCAAGGGACACCTCCTCCTTGGTGGGGCAGGGGAGCACACCCCAATTACAGGTCTGCAAAGCCAACCCATCTGCACTGCCTGGAGGCTCCCAGCAGAAAGCCGGCTTGGGCAGAGGGAGATGGCTGAGTTCCTTCCTCTCCTACAGATCAGGGAATCCAAGGAAACACCGAGGGACAAAGAGCAAATGTCACGGGGAGAGAAGTCTCACCGCAGGAGGAAGGGAGCCACCAGACAGGCTCCTCTGGCCACACAGACAGAAAACAGGTGTTCTAGGTGAGGGTGGAGGACTAAATCTCTTGCTGTCAAAGCACCAAGCCTGCACCTGCACCAAATGAGCGTCTTCCGATGCCAAGCATTTGAGATTTCCTGTATCCGGAGGACCCAGCATTTACTAAATGACCAGTTTTACAAACAAATGACCAGGGGGTCACCTCAATTTTTTTTTAAAGTTTTCTCATGCTCCAGAAACTCTTACCAGTGGAGAACGCAACTCATGGACAAGCTGACCTTCTCATCATCCTGATTTAGTAAATTAAACTTAATGAGTCTTTAAATATCAGAACAATTTAATTAATTCTGTACAGGAGGCTGAAGCACTCAATGTGTCACATGGTCATGTGAAATGCTACATGTGAAAGCCGTTGATGGGAAACAGTAACGTCACAGCATTAACCATGTTCTGGCATGAGAGACTGAACAAAAACGTAACAAGGGCAATGATGAGGTTCTTCTATAAGTGGGTGATTAAAAAAAAAAGTGTCTGTGGTTTTGTTCAAAAATCTATCTACCAAGGGAAGAGGAGGAAAAAGCTGTTTGCCACATGATTTGTGTTCCTACAAATAGGACCGCCCCCCAAACTGCATAGGACAAAGCCCAGAAACACCAGCAAACCCCTTGGTCCTACACACCGCTTTTTTCTTGATTTTAGCAGCCTTTTGCATCCTCTGAGCAGCATGTAAGAGAAAAGAAAAACAGACAAAGGAAGAAAGAAAGGAAGAGAAGGAAGGGCAGCAAAGTTATTTTAGACTTATGGTTAACACCCTGGGACTCAGACCTTGTGCTCAGAGGAAAGGGGCAGGGGCAGGATGGGTGCATAGCCATCACTTCGGGGAGCACACACACTGACCAAGAAAAGCCCACACACGTCCCCCAAGCGCTGGAAATTATCAACAGCCACCCAGATCTACGAGGGTAAGACTAAGGACAGAGAGATGCAGAACTGGCAGAAAAGCGTCAGGCTCTAGGCAGGGGAGCAGGACTGGGGTCTGGGCAGGAGGGCCCGGGGCTCTGTGCATCTCCTCCCCTGACCACCATGGGCTCACACCACAGACCCCTTTGCCTCTATAGAAGAGGGGGGGGGAGGGGTCTGACACGATTTCTCACCCCATAGAGGCCAGCAGCATCCACAGACCCTGAACTGCCCAGAGAGGCACCTCCTCAAGCCACCACGCCCTTCTCTCCTGACCCCCTTAGTTTTGCTGACTTGGCCTCATCTTTCTCCTGCCCGTCTGCACCCACTGTTCAAAACCAGGCGATTCAATGGGTACCCAGAGCAGCAAATATGTCAGAAATTTCTATTTAAACGAAAAATGTGATTCCTTTGTTTCCCCTTCTGCAAGCACTTTGGTGCCAAAGATATACAGACCATCAAAATGGGATTTGAGCCTCCACACAAATGTGTTTTATGAATGGAATGTGGTGGAACCTTTAAAAATTGTGTCTCCAGTGGCCCGGTGGTGGCTCCTCATTAAGGAGCCAGCAGCCTCTGTCCCTAGCCCAGCATTCTTCTAGACAGGCCAAAGTCTCCCTTGGCCTCTCCAGGTGCCTCAGGCATTCCTGCTCTCCCTGCTGAGGGTGGTTGCATCCCCCTTCCCAACTCCAGTGCCTCCCCACAGTGAACCAGGGCTCTGCTGAGCCCACCAGTACCTTGACCCGGCTGACGGCCTCCTGTGCCTGCATCATTCTGATGTTTTTGGAAGGGTTACGTTCTGAGAGCAGCTGGGTGGACCCCAGGTAGTTGGCAGCAAAGATGATCCCATCAATGAGGTCTTCTGGTTCGCAGGGCCCTGGAACTGAAGAGGGCACAGTTAGCATCTTCCCAGAGGACAAAGGAACAAGGCAGCAGGGACAGGGGACAAAGGAGAAGGGCTGAACCATTGCCCATCTGCAGCCAGCAGAGGGAGGCCAGTCTGCTTCCCTCCTCACTACACAGTGCCTGGTATAAGTAGTTTCACAAAATCAACACCCCGGTCAGAAAACTCTACATGCATGATACAGGAGGACAATTCCAGGTCACTCAAGGCACCTCAGCCTCCATGGTGACAGCCACTTGCTACAATCCCAGAGATGCCCTGTCCCCAAGTGGGCAGCATTTCCATGCCTGCCCCAGAGCCCTCTGGAACTCAGGACAGTGAGCAGACACTGCCTGCTACCCTACAGTTCTTCTGGGGCTTTCTCCTCCACTTCTGCACTGTAGGATTCTGGCCCTGTCACATGCCTGGGTGGGCACCCCCATCCCATACACCTCAGGTCCAGGCTGGGTGACATGGTGCTTGCTCCACCTGCTGCCTCTAGGCCAGCGCTGTCAACAGAATTTCCTGCCATGATATTGAATGTTCTATCTTCATGCGGTTCAGTACAGGAACTGCCAGCCATGTATGGCTTTGGGGCACTTGAACTGTGGCTACTGCAAGAGGAACTGAATATTTTTTTAAGTTTATTTATTTATTTAGAGACAGAGAGTGTGAGCAGGGGAGAAGCAGAGACAGAGAGGAAGAGAGAGAGAATCCCAAGCATACTCCACACTGTTAGCACAGAGCCTGATGCGGGGCTCGAACCCACAAACTGTGAGATCATGACCTGAGTCAAAACCAAGAGTTGAACGCTTAACCAACTGAGCCACTCAGGAGCCCCAGAGGAACTGAATTTTTAAATTTTATACAACCTAACTAATTTACATAGAAATAGCCACATATGGCTAGTGGCTCCTGTCCTGGACAGGCAGCTGGAGGTAAGATCAGCAAACCTTTTCTAAGGGGCTAGATGCAAAATATCTTGGGCTTTGCGGTCTGTCTGTCCTAGTCACCTCTGCACCTGTAGGACAAAAGCAGGCACAGGCAATATGTCTAATGAGCAAGCACAGTCCTGAGTCCGTAGTCTGTAACCATCACTCAGCTTGCCTCTGAGACCCACCCACCTTCCTTTCCAGGTCACACGGCCTTCTTCCCTCTCTACCTGCCTGCCTCTGGCCAGATCCCTCCTTGTGAGGGCCCTTGGCTCTGGTTCTCAGGCTCCCCCTCGCTCCAGTGTCCCCAGGGCTGGCTATCCTGTGGCTCCCCAGGCCCCAGGGCCAGCAGTCCCCTCCACCAGCTGTTTCATGTTCTCACCTCTGACCCACTCTGCTTCTCAAAGTATCCACTCGCCTAGCCCAGATGCCACTGTTCACCAGTCCCATAACATCTGCCCACTGCCCTTGAACCTCTGCCCCCGCCCCAAGGACTCAACAGAACTCCAAACACCCATTCTCTGGGAGGCCTGAAGCTGGAAAGAGAGCCGCCCAACAAGGCTAGTTGGCTCCATTACAAATTCATGGACCAAAATGCCCTCAAAACTTGTTGGCAACCCTGAGAGGTTCCTCTGAGAAGTGCCTCCTCTCCCACTGTGCAAGCACCATTTCATAGCTTCCCCCATGTTCTGGAACTTCCAGTTGCCCCTCCCCCTTCACTGTACCTGACAGAGTGTCACCTGTGCTCCCTGAGGGACAGGCAATCTAAGCAGTCTTCCTTCCCAGGGTTCTGTGAGGCAGTGGGTCCCCACTGGGGGCTGAGGATCACCTGTGACCCCATCCCTCTCAGAGTCAAGTCCTATGAGTTGGGTCTTCTCAGGGCTTTTAAACACCCTCCAGTGTCCCCTGGTGGGTTCCAAAGCCTCCTTCACCCATCCCCACCTCCAGTGGGCCCCCTCCCTCCTCCCTCTCGAAGGCAAATATCTGGAAAGAACTGCCTCAGCACATCCCAACCTAGCCGCTGTGTCCCTGCTCCAATGTCCCCCACACTAAAGCTGCACACGACCTCAGTGCCCTCACATTCAGTGGGCCTTCTGGTCATCGTGTCACCTGCCTGCTTCTTGAGACATGTCTTCCTCACTTGCCTGTCACTCAGTGTCCTCCTCCGTCTCTGGCTGTTCTTTCTTGGCTCTCTGCAGGTACCCCTTCCTCCACGAGGCCACAGAATGCTGACATCCTGGGGACTGAGTGCCTCGGGCTTCCATGACCACTTGCTTGCTGACGAGGGGTACTGTAGTTCTCCAAACCCCAACCCCATGTACTCAGCAGCCTGCTTGCTGGCTCTCCTGGGATGGCCCCATCTCAACACGTCCAAAGCAAAGTCCCAATATCCCACCGCCATCCGGGCACTGAGCCTGGTTCTTCCTCTTGGACACCACCACCCTCCCAGCTGCATGGCCTTCACATCCATATCCAACCCATCCCCTGAGTGCTGTCCACTTTGCCACCACACCTATCCTGAGTCTTTCTCCAGTTGCCCATTTGTGTCTCTTCATTTCCTATGTTGAAGCCCTAAGCCCCAATGTGATGCTATTAGAAATATGACGTCTGGGAGGTGATTAGGTCAGGAGAGTAGAGCCCTCATGAATGGGGTCCGTGCCCTTATAAGAGGGACCCCAGAGAACACCTTGCCCTCTTTCTGCCACAGGAGGACATAGAAAAATACCATCTGCAGCCTGGAAGGGGGCTCCCACCAGAACTCGACCATGTGGGCACCCTGACCTTGGAGTTCCATCCTCCACAACTGTGAGAAATCAATGTCTGTTGTTTATAAACCACCACAGCCTCTGGTGTTTTGTTACCATGGCAGGACTAAGACCTGAATCTTCCACACAGACCATGCTGCCACCAGAGGTCCTTCTAGATGGGAGATCTGATCTTTTATCCTCCCCTGCTATAAACTTCACGGGGCCTCTGCTTGCTCTCAGGATACAGACAGAAGTCCCTGAGCCCCCAAAACACAGTGTTCCCATTCAGAGGTACGTGCCGGTGAGGGGACAAGGAGAGTTTCACTGGCCTCATCCCGACGTCAGCAGACCCCAGAGTCTGGGGCCCCGGCTCCAGCCCACATGCCCACCAGGCCACTCAGGTGCCAGGAGCCCAGTGTATGGCCCGTAGTGAGCAGGCTTTCACCCTGAGAAGTGATTGTGCAACTTCCCGGAAACCAGGCCCACCGTGGGTTCAGGGCAAGTTTTCTAAATGATTCTGAAACTTTAGTTCTCTTTAATCCACAGGAGAAAAGGGCACACAAAGCTGAGATGCCCCAGGAGGGGGAGCGTACATCACGCTTTCACTGGAACAAACCTCAGCTCTGTGGACATGAAATTAAAGCTCCAAAGCGGGTCATAGCATGTGTGCATTAGTCTACATTGTCTGCCTGAAGATCCATACCCAGGGGCACACACATCAGACTCACACACATGTGGGGAAACCACAGATACAGAACCGCTGTCATCTCTTCCACAGCAGTGCCACGGCTCCTGCACTAAAGCCAATTTTATAAGGTGCTTTATTTTTTTTTAACGTTTATTTATTTTGAAAGAGAGACAGACAGAGATAGAGAGAGACAGAGCATGAGCGGGGGAGGGGCAGAGAGAGAAGGAGACACAGAATCCGAAGCACGCTCCAGGCTCTGAGCTGTCAGCACAGAGCCCAATGCAGAGCTCAAACCCATGAACTGTGAGATCATGACCTGAGCTGAAGTCAGATGCTTAACCGACTGAGCCACCCAGGTGCCCCTTATAAAGTGCTTTAGAACAAGGTGAAGTGTTCTGAAGTTTGAAAGAAACCTATTAGTAATACCAGGCCCTGGCAGGTTCCAACTTAGGAATGCCCCAGGTCATGCCCCATGTAACGGTGGGGGCCCTCCCATCCTGACCCCACTGTCCTGGGGACCCCGCCCCTTCTCCCCACTGACCTTGAGAGCCTCCGCAGAGCCCCCAGATGATGTACCCCTTCCTCTTGGGTGCTCAGTGGTTTACTCCAGGGATCTTTGATAACACTTGTGGAAGCCTCTAGCAAACCCTCAGGGAACCAATCCCAAGGCTCCAGCCCTCAGCCCCCCAGCACTATCTGCAGAAGCCACTGATGCCTCAGGACCTCCCTGGCTCTCCCCATAGATGACACTCTGGAAACTTCCACAGGCTGCTGGCAACACCTCTCAGCAAGCCTGAAGCCCCTCACCCGGCCCCAGCTCTGTCGTCCATGTCTGGAGGAAAGAAGCATCGCCTGCTACAGAACCAAGAGAAGGGGTCCCTTCAGGAGACTTGGGCTGGGGGCTGGGTAGGGGGAGACATGACAAAGGGGGTCCCCTTTCCTCCAATGTCCATACTGTGGGTCTGGGCCCTTTGGGATGGCCTCCCCACCACATCTGTGTCTCTGGAAAAGTTCTTCCCACACAGGTGACATTGCTGGGTCTGGAGGAGGCTGTCTGTGACAGCGAAGGTGGGTAGCCAAAGCGTTCAGGGGGTCAGTGAGGGCAGAATGGGAATGGGTGCAGGGGGTCTCGATGGGGTGGGGGGGCATGAGGGCCTGGTGGTAGGAGGGACTGGGGTGGAGGTTGGGAGCTGAGGGAAGGTGGGTGGGAGGGTCCGGGGGTTATCCTAGCTTCTGGTAGGTCTATAAGCTCCCTCTTTTAGTGCTTAAAAGACACCGAAGAAAAGCATACCGACCCCTGATGCATGTATAGATCAAACGTTTTTCATGCCACTGTTACCACCACCTTCCCCAAAAGTCAGTGCCAGTGGCAGTCCTCTGTTGTGGGATGGTGACTTCTCCTCCAGCCCAGCTGACCCACATTCCTCCCAGGCCACCCACTCTGGCCTTCAGTCCAGTCGGCACTGGCTCTGGTGGGAGAGAACCAGCCCATCACAGGTACCTGGGTGGTAGGACCTCTGAGGGCTCCTCCCAGACTCTCCTCACCAAAAGTCCAGCACAGATCAACAAGCCCTCACCCCCCCACACACACACACAACACACAGGTATGCACACACCCACCCACGCACGTAC